GAAGAGGAGCACAGGAATTGCTAAATCTGTGAGTGAAAATGTACATTGCAGGGGCAGTTAGTGAACACTGAAGGGCTCTAATCAGTAATCCACATTCCAGGGTAGCTATGCAAACACAGCCCTTTGAATCTGCCCTGGGGCTTTTATATTAACTTAAGGGGTATTAGAAATGATTTCTCATTGGTGAAATGAGTGGCATTTGAGATATGTGATGGGCCAGAAAGACTACACAAGCTTCACAGCTCTTGCGTAAATGAGAAAATAAGAATCCAGCACAGCCAGCAGCCTAACACGTAGGCGCAGCAGTCCATTTGATCCGGTGTCCTGCTCCCTTCATAAAGGACAACAGGGCCTGATCTGACTAAAAGGCCTGGTCAGCTGCCTTCAGAAGAGTGCAGACTCTACCTTGGATTAAACCTTTGGGGCCAGGTGCTTATCAGAATACTTGAGAAACTGACAGTAAGGTCACTGAACTCACACTCTTAGTACTTGTGCACTTGGCAGAGTTTGGTCTGCAACCTGCTTTTGTAGTGCTGTCCCACCTGGTGATGGGGAAGGAGTCCTAAACTCTCATCTTGTTTCTGATCACTAAGTATTTCCTTCCCCATATTAACAAAAGAACTTGGTGATGACCAAGGAGCCACACTGATTTAGATTCATTTACAAGAGGTCTAAGAGTGCTGCTGCTGGTGGCAACATCACCCATGAGAGAACCCCAAGGCTAAAGGTCATATTTAGTCAGAAGAACATGGTCAGCAGATCATCCCAGAAAATTCTCCTTCTGGGACTTTGGAAACATGTGCATTGAGAAGCCATGTCCTCACCTTACAGATCACAATCCTCCAGTATCCCAGCTCCCAGAACAGCACCTTCCCTCCAGCCCTCAGCCCTGTCTTCCTCACCGCCACCCTCACCCAGAGTCTGCTGAGCTCCTCTCTGTGGCCATTGAAACAATTCCCACCTGCACTTTGTGAGGTTCACTATCCTGTGGGTGACACGCTGGGCAGAAGGGAAGTCCTCGAAGCTGTTTTTAAGTTAAAGGAGCTATGCCGAGAATATCATGGCACCTTTTGAAATAATTAGGAGATGAAGAGTCACAAGACAAAGGATGGGAGCTCTTACAACAATCTTGAGTTCTCCACATCCCTGATTGGGCATATAAAGTGTTGTTTCCAAAGTCTCTTCCTGTCTCCCACCACTGCCCAACACACACATACACTCTTCCCAAAGCATGAGGATCTCATCACAGAAACAATCCATTTGATACTGCCGAGCATGCCCTTAAGTTAGCCAGGAAAATAAAGCTACATTTAAAAAGGATCAGGCTTTATATAAGAAATTCAGGAAATAAAAAATCAATCAATGCACAAGTCTATACTGTGACCAAGATGATTTGGGCCTTTGGGGGAAATGGAAGCTATTTGGCACCTTTGGTAGTGATTTCTGTTCTCCTCTTTGGCCAGGATGGGATTCTCCAAGGCATTCGTGCAGTTCATTAAATATGTTATTATGTTGGCTTATGTTTCTCTTTCAATTTAAGAATTCAGCTCTTAGAAAACATTGCCTGAAATGAGTCCAAGTAGTTTAGGCCTCAGAAGCAAATCCATTTTGACTAACAAAAGACTAATTCTCTAAATAAGCAAGATGGCTTTTCTTAAATCAGAGTCTAATTGTGAAATCCTATACCCTTAAATCTAGAAGATTACCAGCATAGATATTTCTAAGCCTATGCAACTTGGATCAGATTTCCCATCAGAAAAAGGAATAATTTCTCTAACATCAGAATTCTAAATTAGCTACAAGATCATGGGCCTCAGCTGGCAGTTACCTCTCAAAATCAACAAATCCATATGCTGGGACCCTGGAATATTTGGGCCTCTTCCATGACTTTCCCATCCCACCTATGCACACCCTTCACCCTCCCACCCCACATCACCCACCAGCGTATCACTTTCAAATCCTTAATCAGCCTTCTTGTCTGCCCTTTACTGGGGACCAGGAATGGCTCCTGTCTGTAATAAAAGTTTCTTCCTCAGATTCCAGAGACAAAATATTGCTCTTATTTCCATGCAGAGCTGATAGTCAGGTATGACGGATTGACCCTCCCAGGCCTCAAGCCACAATTGCATAAATTGACACACTCTAAAAAAAGAAAATTAGCGTGTAACATCTGGGTCTCTTCACTCAGAAATGCATCTATTAAGAATGATTCTTCTGGCTACAAAGAAATAACTTGGAGCAGTGAATCTTACAAAGGCAGATCCTTCTGCTTCTTGTGTTCTTTTTTGTGAGGGAAGTGGATGCCTTTGTCCCTTGGCATCCAATCAGCCACAAGAGCTAATCATTGTTTTAGCTGCATCCTTTGAATTGCTGCAAACATTATCAGCCCTGTTCTGTCCTTATTATTATAGCCACAAAGTAAAGTCTCTCTTAAAACTACCAGGGTCACCTATGGGCTGTCATGTAATAGAGTATGTTCACGACAAAAAGTCTAACAAATGGAGATTTGTATAATTAAAATCAACAGCAGAGAGCAGAAAGGACTTTGAGAAATGCAAAGACTATGCACATACATATTTCATTGCCATGTGTTTTTTGGACATGTCTATATACTAGATGTTACATAATAAACTACTTTGAGCAGATCCTCAAATCAAATTGTATTCTTAGCTCTTTGTTCTCATGTATACATTCATTAAATAAAAACAAAATCAGTAGTTTCTATAGGCAAGGCACTAACTATATTAGGTGCTGAAGACAGGATGGCAAAATAGAGTTAGTTTCCAACCTCATGAAGGAAGATAGTCAATTAAACCTTGTGTTAAAGGCTCAAATAAAAGCAAGTACTGGAGTTTTGGCAATGCAGAGAAGGAGCAACTAATTCAGTCCTACAGCAGGTGATATTTACACTAATGACCGGGAGAAGTCAATACCCTGGGGTGAGTAGGAGCAGGAAGACAGAGGTGGAGAAGGGAAAAGGAAGAATGTGTCCGAAAACAACAACATGTATGAAGACTTAAAAATAAGAGATGGCATATCCTATCATCGGACCTGAAAGGAAGCAGGAGAGTAGGGTAAGGAGAATGCAGTGAGTGAGGCAAAGAAGTTGCAAGATGGTGGGGAAAGTAAGAAAAAAAAAACATATTGTGAAGAGTGTGGACTTGACCCTAAAGTCAAGGAAACGTGGGGTGACTGAATCGTTCCCAATTCTTCACTTCTTTCATGTTATAGAACTGACCCTGGCTTCATGGTGGGCAGAATGTACCTCCCTGTCCCTTGACTTTGGGTTTAGCAATGTGACTTGTTTTGGCCAATGGAATGTTAGCAGAAAAGGCCAGCAAGAAAAGGTTTCTTCCCTCTTGCATCCCTGTAATCATCTATGAAAATGATATGTTTCAGGTAGTGGCTGCTCCTTCAGTCTAGGCCCTAGGTCTAGTCCATGAACTAGACTAAACCCAACCAGAAGCCTGGGGTTCCACCCCAGGCTCAGTGATCCAAGCTGCCACCGACCCACAGACCTGAAAGGATGAAAATAAATATTTTGGTAAGCCACTGAGATCTGGGGGCTGTTTTACAGCAACAACTAACTAAAACACAAACCCATGACAAAATTTGCTACTGGGGAATGTCAACGTAAGAAACATTCACACCTGTGAACAATTTTTGTGAGTTTATTTGAGCCAAACTGTTGACAATTCCCAGGAAGAAAATCTCAATAGATTGAGATAATGCTCCAGAGACTGACAGTTTTGCACCTTATTTTATACGTTACAATCAAAAGAGAAACTGTAAGTGATTTACATGAAATCCCTTGGTGATAGATTAGGGAGGCGGGAGAAAGCAAAGCAGTTGGGGGGGACCTCTGGGATTCGATCAAAAGTAAAATGATAGACATGTACATCTTTTACATAGGTGGGTATAGAATAGTTAATAGTCAACAATTAACATGATAAAAAATAACAACGACAGGATTTGTATTCTCTGCTCTGGTGCATTGTTTGTATCCTAACGGGTCTGGAAAAATGGGAGTTAACCTGACATTCCAAAAGGGATGTTATCTTAGATGCAAAAGACAATAGACAGGCTCAGTGAAAGTAAAGATTGACTTTTGTCAGGGAAGATTCTAGCCTAGGACATGACTATCTGCCATAAACTGCTTTTAGTTAAAAAGTTTTCATTTCAGAAAACTTTTGTGGTCATTTTAGGTCTCTGAGTTTGCAAGACCTCCCCTGAGCTTGTCAGGTTAGCATGTGGCCCCTTTTTGTCCACAGGAGTGACATGGTCATAGTTGTATTTTAGAATGCTCCCTTGCTCCATTATGGAAAACAGACTGAGGGAGAGAAGACCAGTTGGAAGCAGTACAGAGACCTGTTGGGAGATGGTTTTCTTAATCCAGAGAGAAATAATGGTGGCCTGGCGTAGGATGTCAGTGGTAGGGGACAGAAAGAAGCACTGATTGCTGTTTAGTCCTTTAGTACCGTGTTCTAATTTGGGGAATTTTTTTTTTAATTCATTTATTTTTTATTAATTAATTTTTGTTACAGGTGTTTCTCCTTTTTCCCCCAGATCCCCCCCTCTCCCTCCCTCCCTGCCCTGTCCCCAGTTTGTTGTCCATGTCCACTGTTCATGCATACATGCATATAAGTTCTGTGGTTTATCTCTCCCCCCCATCCCCTCTTCTGGGGATTGTCAGTCTGTAGGGAGGGGGTTGTTTTAATATAAAACCTATTTTCCTCTGAGACCAAGATAAGCACAGTCTCTCTGAGATGGTAGAACTCAACAGCCTGTTTAGCAGTTCAGCTTCATTTGTTCAGTCTACTGCCATTTATTGAATGGTTGCCATGTGTCAGAGTAATAAGATATGACATCCCTGCCATTCCAAAGCCCACAATCCAGGAAGGAAAGGCAGATATGTAAACAAATAATTGCAATAATATGTTGGAAGTACTGTAATAAAAGTGAAAATAAAACTTACAAGAACATAAAGGAGAATATGGTCCTTTATTAATGTTCCTGGAGACATTTATATTCATTCCTGTGGACAGAGGTCTTTGTTTTATTCACTGATACATCTCAGGTACCTAAAAGAAAATGCCTAGCACCCGTGATTAGTAGATGCCTAATAAATATTTGGTTTTTGTGCTTAATTTTTCTAACTTTGGCTCAGATTCACCCTCCTATCTCCTTCTGGTCTGGACTGCCTCTGATAGTATTCCCTCAAACTGACATGATGGCCAGTAGTTTCAAGTCACAAAAAGAGTGTAGGATGAAGACTGGGAAGACATTGTATTGGGCCACCAGTGGGTTGCTATTGACTTTGGAGGGCAGATATTCAATAGAGTGCTGGGGTAACAAACCACACTGCCAACACAAACTTCTTCACCCTGCTTCTTTTGGTTTTAAGTTCTCCATTAATGGGGATTAGAATATTCGCCACAAGCACTGGAGAGATGGGAAAGAAGGTACACAGCTAAGAAGGGCTATCAGGATGGCCACTACCTTAATTGCCTTTACCTCAATGGATGCATTCTGGTCTAAGTCTACCCTTCAGTTATTACTGTCGATGAGCTTTTTCTCAGAGATCCTGATTTCCACTAACCCACAAAAGAATAAATATTACACACCAATATGCTTCAATTAATTTCAATTGAGAAATACAACTATTGTATGAACTTTGTTAATCTTATCTGCCTAACATTATTTTCCTTTAAACAAGCTATATGGAATGTCTCCTTATCAGGAGGTGACTTGAAGGTTGTTTGAGGTATATCGAATTAGAGCAAAGAAAGAGGGTGTAGATGTTTAAATGGAATCAGGTTTTCTTAGCCTGACATAATATCAGAGTTTGAAGTGTCAGGCATTTTGAGTATTAGACCCTTGAGACTCACAGGGGACGCTTTCCCTAGGGCAGTGGTTAGATAGGTACCGTCCATGTTTACCTAGCTCATGTTGCTTTTATCTAGGGTTCCAGTGCTGGCCAATCTTTGTTTCTGATTGATGCTTGGGTTTCCACAAAGCCTCTGGAGGCAATTCCCTGCATCAGGGCCACGAGGCTCTCCCATGTGGAATGTTTCAATACAAAAGGGTTGAATAGACAAATGCAATTTGTAAAACATAAAAAAATAAAAAATAAAAAATCAACGAGTGAAATAGTGATAAAGAAATTAAAATTTGGCCCTGGCCAGTTTGGCTCAGCGGTTAGAGCGTCGGCCTGCGGTCCGGAGAGACCCGGGTTCGGTTCCCGCTGAGGGCACGTACCTCGGTTGCAGTTTGTCCCCGGCCCTGGTTGGTCGTGCGGGTGGCAGCCACTCGATGTGTCCCTTCACATCGATGTTTCTCTCTCTCTCTCTCTCCCTTCCTCTCTCTCCCTCCCACTCTATCTGTAAAAAAAAAAAAAAAAATGGAAAAATATCCTCGGGTGAGGATAAAAAGAAAGAAATTAAAATTTGGCTGGTTCTTCTAAAGCTAGTTGTAGTACCACAATGCTGGCACACTGGTTGTAATTGGGGGAAATTTCACAATTGTTTGTTTGGACAATCTTTGGTCTTCCAGTTAACCACAAAGTAATAAATCATTCTGTCAGTGGTGAATTCACTTTTACATCTCCCCCAACTGACCCCTAATCAACTAAGAAGTTTATCAAAATGAAATTACACTGCACTGAATAAAATATAAGCACAAGCATGTAAAGAATATCACCATAGATCACCATTCTTGTCACACTTAGCCTGTGGACATTTACCCACACATTTACTGCTATACGTTATTAAAAAAGCTTTCAATGGGCAGTTACTTCAGAATCACCTGGAAGGGTGAGAAGGACAGTCTTCCAACTTTCTATTTCCTAACTAGAAGGGCATATTTATTTGAAATCCTTATTTGAGCAGTTTGATAGTATTTCTACTGCAATTGGTACATGGTTTCCAGTCTGTCATTTTTCTTTTGAGGCATCTGTCCTCTGCAGATGTCTGGTTCTTTTGGCCTATGAATTAATATTCCCATGGAGATACTGGCTACTTGGCCTCATGATATCTACAGAGAATGGTTGAAGGCCAGCCCATAATCTAGGTCAATTCCAAAGTTCAAGGGAAGCAGTGAAAAATACTCCCAATATGCAAATCCTTATGCAAGGCACCAACTATATCATGTGCTGGGGACAGGGTGGTGAAATAGTCACCTGTTGACTACATCCCACTGAGCAAATTCTTGGGTCAGGTACTTTGAACCTGCAGAGAGAAGCAGCACTTAGAGAAGGCAGTCTCCATTAATTATGGGAGTCTGCAGGTATCTGAGTGATTGCCCACGGTCTGGCAGTCCATCCTGTCTTCAGCCACTCTGCACTCCAGGAGCACCTGGGCTCTATTTAAATTACCCCATGCACCTCCACATACACACCACATCACAGTTTGGTCTGGTTTAAGAGTGTGTCCCTCAAGAGAATCTTGATTTGCTTTTGCCAGGAGCTTGGCAAGTGTCCCACCGTGGGACCATTTCTTACACTAATTTATCAGCTTGGGGCTGTCAGACTACCCAGACAATGTAAATTCAGAATGAAAACCACGAGGAAAGGCGGTGATTATTAATTCCAATGGAGACATAGATCTATACTGTTTTGTTACCTCAGCTTTGTTTTCTTTGTTTTGGATGGCTTTGTTTTCTTTTCCACTGTAGCCCAATCAGGGTCCCAAGTCTGTACAAGGTCCTTAGTTCCAATTCCCCATCTTGTCTGCCCCCAGAGGCTTTTCTACGCACCCCAAAGCAGTTAAAACCCAAAGCCCAAATATAGGAGTACTTGGTTACAAAGGTTGTAGTACTCTCTTCCAGGGGAAAACAATGTGTTATCAGTTGCTTACTATGTGGAACAGTAGGTGCTTCTCTGATTTGGGCCCTTACTATCCTAACTATGGGGTTTAAAGAATGCTTGCCAAGTTTATCCAGCACTTCTAGGTGTTCTATAGGAAAAGGATGTTCAGGTAACCCAAACTGCTACATGGCCTGAACAGAAGTCTTAGTGAAGCCTAGGGAGCATATAAACATGGATATGTCCACACTACAGCCTCAGAGTGTTCCAGCCTTGCACCTAGCAGGGACCAGGGTTATTTTGAAGACACCCACCCCCCCGAAGTGATTCTGATGTGTGTATCCACTTAAGAACCACTGGAACAGAAAATAACAAGCTTAGATCATTATATCATGCAAGGAGACTGTTTATATTTTGTAGGAATTAATCTTTACCTATTTTAAAAAAGGAATGAGACCTTTATTGGCATCTACAAAGATAAAATGACTTTGCTACAGATGCTTACCTTTTGATGATTAGTTCTTTTTATAGCAGATTGAATGCAGAAAAGTTTGTTGGAATTGGGTTTTGTTATATAGTGGACAATTCCATTTTCTGAAAAGGTAAGAAAAAATAGATGTTTGCATCATGTTTCCTGTGTAAAAACTTTCCTTGACCACAATTTTGCTGGGCTCTGAAAACGTTTTAAAGCTTTTGCATCATTTGCTTTGGCCTGGCAAAATGCTGAAAACCAGTATCAGAGATTTTGACCTTTGGTAGTTTTTTAGCTGACTGGATAATAATTCAGCAATTTATAATTATGTCACTGATAAGATAACTAAGTAGATGAAAACTTTCAAGTACCAAGTACAACTGCTATCTAGTTTGCAGTTCTCACCAAAACCCATTAAATACAAATGGATAAAATGTCCATTGTGAATATTGTACAGCATATTGTACAGAATTTGTATAAAAGGTACAAACTACTTTTTTCAAGTCATCTATCAGAATTGTTGATATAATTTATGTTTTATGTAAAAGTAGTAGAAATTGAAATTAAAAATTAATTTTTTTGGTTATCAAAACTATTAGAAAATAAATGCAGAATTTTCTTCTCAGTTATTTTATTTTGACAGTCCTCATTATTATATCTAAACAGTGTGCACTTGTCCCAAGTTGAACCAATCAGAAATCTATATTTCTTGTACCATAAGTGTTTTATGTGAGGTATCTCATTTATTCCTTGCAAGAAGTCTCTGATCATATTATCTACATTTTACAAATGAGAAATGAATTTGAAAGATAGGTAGTAGAGTTGCAATTTGAACCCAGGTCATCTAACTCTAGAGTCTATTTTTAACCACAAAACTGCATGACTCTTATATTTAAAAAAACTAAAAAGCAAAAGCACACAAGCAAGAAACCTATTTAAGAACCATTCTAGGATCACAATGTTTAATATCAAGTTTTATTGGCTAGACCTCCCTCCAAATATATTCCAAATCCAAATACCTTTCCCTCCTTCACCACTGCCCCTCCTTGTGACATTGCAATAAGGGACCATAGTGGTTCTCATGGCACAAGGTGGTCTCAGGACCAGCAGTCTAGGCATCACCTGAGAAATAGTTAGAAATGCAGATTCTCTGCCCCCAAATCCCAGACCTGCTGACTCAGAAATGATTGGGGTGGGACTAGCGAGCTATGTTTTAACAAGCCCTCTGAGGGACTCTGATACACACTCAAATTTAATGACTGTGTATACACAAGGAGTCTAACAGTAAAATATATTCGTCAAGTCTTCTGACAGCTTTGCCAACTTTATATAGTCTCTATTGAACCGTGCATCTTTTAAGAGCCACTCTCTTTACAAAATCAATTTTTGCCTTCAAGAGCACAGTGATCTTCAATTCTTCTAAAAAATGTGCTTCCTTCAACAGCTGAGCTAGACCTGCACAAATCCAAAACTACAGGTCTCCTGTGACCCTGATAATTCCCAAGGCTTCATGTACTCCGTCTATGCACAGAATCCTTTATACTGAAGCAGAGTTTAACAACAAAAACAATTTAAAGAAGTTCTGCCTGGCCGATGTGGCTCAGTGGATTGAGCGTTGTCCCATGGACTGGGAGTTCCCAATTCGATTGCCAGTCAGGGCACATGCCCGGGTTGCGGGTTGCAGGCTCGATCCCCAGTAGGGGGTGTGCAGGAGGCAGCAGATTGATGTTTCTCTCTTACATCGATGTTTCTATTTGTCTCTCCCACCCTCTCTCTCTAAAAAATCAATTAAAAAACATATTTAAAAAATAAGTTCTAATCTCTGCTTATGCACCTCAGAGAATATTAAAGGTGACTACAATTAAAGAAATGAAAATCTTTGTATGTCAATGATATATCAATAGGCTGGAAAAAAATGTTTTTAATTTAAAATATCAAATCCAGGCAAGGATATAGAGTAACAGAAACTCTCTTGCATTGCTGATGGGAATATACATTGGTACATCCACTTTGGAAAACTATTTGGCAGCAATCACTAAAGATAGAGATATGTCCACTCTATGTCCCAGTAATTCCACACCTGGACATACACCCAACATAAATGAGTGATTATGTCCAGCAGGAAAAATATACAAAAATGTTCATGGCATTATTATTCATAATGCTCAATCAAACACTGAAAACACTCAAATGTTTTTCAAGTATAGAACAGATAAATAATTTGTGAAATACTACACGGCAGTAATAAAAATTCTGCTTTTGCTGCTTACAACAATATTGATTGATAAGTCTTACAGATGCAATGTTGAGTGAAAGAAAACTGACACAAAAGAGTACATATCGTATGATTCCATTTTCATGGAGTTAAGTAAAAAGAAAAAAACAAATTTATGGTAACAGAAACAGAAAAGTAATTACTTCTGGGCAGGGGTGGACAAGGAAGAGGATGAGGAACACGTGGGGTAATAGAGTGATGGTATGTTCTGTATCTTGATCTGGGTGATAGTTACATAGTTGTAGACATGTAAAAAAATCATCAAGCCCCATCCTTAAGATTCATGGTACATGAGTAACATCTCAAAAGTTTTAGAAAGTGAAATCAACAAAGAATATTAAAGGGGATCCAGATCATAACTGACAGCAACAGCCCTGAAGTCAGCTTTCCTCTCCTCCCCAATTCCCTTGCACCTATAGCTGCTATAGTACCTCTCACTGACCAAACCCCCAAACTCTCTCTGACGTCCAGCAGGTAGTTTTTCCTTTATCTCTCCCTTAATTCAACCTTAACCCCAGGTGTGACTTGGCTTTTACTAAATCCTTTCCTCTTGTCCACCACCTCTCAGGTCTACCTCTTTCTAAGTCTATCTCATTCTCTCAAATCTGCATCCCGAAAGATCTTGAATTGGATAGCAAAGACAAATTTCTCTTTACTAGAGATATAGGGAGAGAAGTAGAGAATGTTTAGCCAGTAATGTATCTCTTGTCCTCTCACACACCCTCAGTTATGAAGTTAATTGAACTTTCCTAGGGAAAAGACACCACTGAGTAGTTATTTCTTTTCTTTCTTTTTTTCATCCTCACCCGAGGACATTTTTGCATTTATCTTCAGATAGAGAAAGAGAAACATCGATGTGAGAGAGACACATCGAGTGGTCACCACCCACACGACCCCAAACGGGGCCAGGGACAAACTGCAACTGAGGTACGTGCCCTTAGCGGGAACTGAACCCCGGTCTCTCTGGTCCGCGGGCTGATGCTTTATCCACTGAGCCAAACCGGCCAGGGCAGTTATTTCTTTTTAATGATAGTGGGTACCAGCACAAACAACTGACTCCTCACCTAGAATGCAATAAGCTTTTGTCTTTCTCTTCTTAGTAATGTCTTCTAGCCTATACCAGGAATTCCATGCAGCATGCTTTTTGCTGAAGATGGTAAAAATAAAATTGGGAAGCAGCATGGCTTCTAAAGAACAACAGAAGAGCCAAATTGCAGTTTCCTAAAATATGAATATTGACAGCGCATGTCAACTTTAAAATGAACTGGTCATGGGCACAGAGCACAGAGGTAATCAATAGCACTTCCTTGGAGTAAGTCCCCAATGTTAAATTTAGAGTCTTTGACCATTTTTTTCTCAACCTGGAGTCTGAGAATATCTGGGGTTCAGCAGATATACTCTCAAAGATCTACAGTAACTTATCCTTTTAGAAGAGGCCCATAGGAGGATACCAGCATCTGGGAGCAGGGAGAACAGGAAGTTATTGTTTAATGGGTTCAGAGTAATGGTTACATATCACTGGGAATGTACTTAATGCCACTGAATTGTATACATAAAAAATGGTTAAAATGGTCATTTTTATGTTATATATAATTTCCACAGTTTCTTTTTCTTTTTTTAATCCTCATTTGAGGATACTTTTTCAATTTTATTTTCAGACAGAATGGAGAGAGGTAGAGAGAAAGAAACATCGACGTGAGAGACACATCGATCGGTTGCCCCCCGCACAACCCCGACCAGGGCCGGGGAACAAACCGCAATCGAGGTACGTGTCCTTGACCAGAATCGAACTCGCAATTTTTTTGGTCCACGGGCCGATGCTCTAACTGCAGAGCCAAACAAGCCAGGGAAATTTCCAGTTTTAAAAAATGGGTCCACAGGGACTTCCATTTCCAGCAACATGACATATTAGCCATCCTAAAAAAAAAAAAAAATCCTAGACAAAAATACATAAAATAATGGATAAAATATTTTAAAGATTTCATCAGTACATATTTGAGGTAGTAGAAAGTAAGGGGAATCCTCAGAGGTTTTAAAAAATTCAGGATGAGCCCTGGCCGGTTTTGCTCAGTGGTTAGAGCGTTGGCCTGCGGTCCCTAGAGAGCCGGGTTCGGTTCCCGCTAAGGGCACGTACCTCGGTTGCAGTTTGTCCCCAGCCCTGGTTGGGTCGTGCGGGTGGTAGCCACTCGAGGTGTCCCTTTCACATCAATGTTTCTCTCTCTCTCCCTCCTGCTCTATCTTAAAAAAAATGAAAAAATTTCCTCAGGTGAGGATAAAAAAAAAAATGGAGGATGACAAAACATAAATCCATAGTGGTGAGTGAACTCTGAAGCTGGTGGCTGCACTGATATCATCTGCTGACCTTAGCTATTTTAATGTGCCTCAGTAGGGACAGAAGATAAAACCCAGAGACTTGGAAACTGGACCCTCAGTGAGTGAACTAAACAGACCAAACACCCCCAGGGTGTGACTTTAACAAAACTTGCCTCTCTTGGCCTTGGCTATAGATGGAAGAGAAAAAGTCTCCCATGAAATTTTCTAATTATGAATTTTCCTCCAGTAGGTTTGAAGCTATAAGTCTTGGTAATTCCTATTGCTCCTAGAGCAAGCTTCTTTTCCATCATCTTTTATTTTTTAATTTGAAAAATCATCATACATCAATTTTTCAAGTAGAACACATACAATTCATTTACCTGTTCCTCATATTACATAATTTTCAAACCTCTTACCCCACTCCCAACAGACTTCCTTTTAGTATTTTCTGGCTTGCTCCAGTACAGTATCCTCTTCAGGAATGACATCCATAATGGGAAAAAGTAATACAGATTTGGCTCAACCTGTACGGAGTAGAATGGGCCTATTACCACTCGTGGTTGGTGTATTTGTTATCTACTACTGCATAACAAATTATCCCAAAACTTAGTGGCTTGAAAAAACATTTATGATCTCATTGTTTCCGTGGGTCAGGAACCTGGGCGCAGCTTAGCTCGGTCCTCTGGCTCAGGGTCTCTTACAAGGTAGTGGTCAAGTTGTCAGATGGGGCAGTACTCATCTCAAAGCTCAACTGGGAAAAGGATCTGTTTCCAAGCTCACTCATGCAGTTGTGGGTAGGATTCTATTTCTTTTCTTTTTTTACTTTTATTTTTTTATATCCTCATCTGAGGATATTTTTCTATTTATCTTCAGATAGAGTGGGAGGGAGGAAAGGAGAGAGAGAGAGAGAGACATCCATGTGAGAGAGACACATTGACTGGCTTCCTCCCACACGACCCTAACCAGGGCAGGGGCAAACTATAACCAAGGTACGTGCCCTTGACCAGAATCTAACCTGTGACTCATTGGTCCACAGGCTGATGCTCTAACCACTGAGTCAAACCAGCCAGGGCAGGATTCAGTTTCTTCAGGCTATTGGTCTAAGGGCCTTGGTTTTCACTGGCTGTTGGCCAAAGGCTACTGTTGGTTTCTTGCCATATGGGCCTCAGATAGGGCAGCTGACAACATAGTACCTTGCTTCATCACAGCAAGAGCCGGAGAGAGAAAGAGAAAGAGAGAGAGACAGAGAGAGAGAGAGACTTTTATAACCTAATCGCAAAAGAGAAATCCCATCTTTTTTGCTATATTCAATTTGTTAGAAACATGTCACTAGGTCCAGCCACACACAAAGGGAGGAGATTACACAAGGGGTGATTACCAAGAAGCAGGGATCATTAGGAGCCATTTCAGAAGCAGCCTACCACAACTGGACATCACACTTTTAATCCAGAAACTAAAATGGTGACCTATAATACCCGACATTAATGATTTAGATTTAAGCTACCCTAGTTTAGTGAGGCCCTTAGGTACTTTGTAAAAGTAAATGTCAGTTCTCTCTGGAGAAATTCACCTTAAGCTCAGGCATTAAGTACTTCTACCAGATAGAGTTCCAACAAACATGAGTATGTAATAAAAAAGAAAAAAACAAAACACAAGTCACCATGAGAGACAATTAGAATAAACAAAGGGTCAGACCTGCTAATACTACAAGTACTAGAATTATCAGATACATAATATGTGTATAATAAGCATGTTTAATCTGTACAATTACAATTTGACTAAGAAACAACAGAGAGTAAAAAATAGTAAATCAGATTTGAAACAAGCAAAAATATAATTTCTAGAAATGGAAAATAAAATAATTGAAATTAGAAAATTCAATAGGTTGCTCAAAACAGCAGATTGGACACAGCTAAAGTAAGAAATAATGACTGAAAAGATAGATTTCAGGAAATTACACAGAATGCAGCAAAGTAAAGACATGGAAAATATTAAAAAGAGGGAAATAAACACGTACGGTAGAGAAACTGTTATATCTAATTAGACTTTCAAAATTAGATAAAAGAACAGGGAGAGACCATTCAAAGAGAGAATGGCTGAGAATTAGCGACATTTGAAGAAGATGACAAATCCTAAAATTCAAGAGCCTAAACTGTGCTGGTTATTTAACTAGCTTTTAGCTCAATACCCATCCTTCTATTCCCTGCAAGGCAACATGGGGATTGGGTATCTTCAATGCTTTCCCAGACTCCTTTAGCAGCTGGCTCCCCTATCTGAATTCCACCAATAAAAGGCACTAGTATGTAATCAGAAGATAGGAGTAGGGTAATACAGCAGTTATTGTCTCATTTTTTGCTCTCTCCTTTTGTCACCTTCTGGCTCCAAATCCTTAGCCACAGCACTTCCTCCAACCATCCAGCCCCAATGGCCCAATCATTCCTGAGATGGTGGCCCCCACCCCCACCCTGCTAGATTTTGGTAGCATAACCTCCTCTCTTTTGGTGCCTACAGCCCTAGGGATGTGCTAACTACTCTCTGCGTTCTAACCTTCTGGATTCCTCACCTTTGTTCCTCTTTCAACCTTCTAATATACATGTAGCCAAGTCCCTTATGAAATCCTCTCTGTTTTGCAGTACATAGCATGGTTTCTGTTTTCCTGTCTGCACCTTGATTCATATACCAAATTTCAGACAAGTTAAATAATAAGAAATCCACACCTAGACACACCAAAATCAAACTCAGAATACTAGAAAGAAGTTAGGAAGAAGACAGACTGCCTAAAGGAAGTGACAGTTGGACTGACAATAGACTTCTCAACAGTAAAAATGGAAGTCAGAAAATAAGTAACATTCTCAAAAAGCTGAGTGAAAACAACTTTTGACCTGGAATTATACACCCTATGAAACTATCATCTACAAATAAGAGGGAAATCAAGATATTTTCAGACAAATGGTAAGAGATTAATTTTAGAGCCTACTGAGTTAAATAACAGGGATGCACTGAAGTTTAGTTTAGACCTTGGGACTTGGGATTTAGTTTCTTCCTGAGCCTTGCCTTTGGAGTAAAAAATGGCAGAATGGGAGCATAATATACCAACCCAAAATATGTTCCATTAGCATATGGATTATTTTAAGCTGGTTATTTTTAAGACACAGCAGACACAGGCAAAACTCAGAAAACTGAGTAGAAATTATCCTTTTGTAAGAAACATTTGTATTTATAAAGGAAGTCTCCATTTATAAGGGTGTTTTCCTCTCTGTACCAGAAAAAAAGAGGATGATTCTAAATCCTGTTCAACAGCATCCTTGATAAATATCTTCAATTTAGATATAATAAAGAATGTAAAGTATACATTTTAAGTGTTAGAGCAAAACAAGGTATCAAAATTTTATTCCCACTTATCAAACTTCAAAATACTAGACTTTATGAGAAGGCTTTAACAAGAGAATTCCTTATAGTTCTATGTCTAGGGAAGCTAAAATTTAAAGAAAAATCTTATTGATGATATTACTATAGACCATAAGTCAGCACGCTTTTTCTTTCTTTCTTTTTTAATCCTCACGTGAGGGCATTTTTCCATATTTTGTTCAGATAGAGTGGGAGGGAGAGAGAGAGAGAGAGAAACATCAACATGAAAGGGACACATCGAGTGGTTGCCACCCACACAACCCAACCAGGGCCAGGGACAAACGGCAACCGAGGTACATGCCCTTAGCGGGAACCGAACCCGGGTCTCTCCGGACCGCAAGCTGACGTTCTAACCACTGAGCCAAACCGGCCAGGGCCAGCATGCTTTTTCTTTTAAGGGCCAGATAGTTAATATTTTAGGCTCTGCGGGCCATTAGGTCCCTCTCACAACTACTCAACTTTGTTCTTATGATGCAAAGCTGCCACAGATAGTGCAAACACAAAAGCATGGCTGTGTTGTAATAATCCTTATTTACAAAACAGGCAGAGGGCTGGATTCGATCCTCAGATCATCATTTTACAAATCCTACTACATTGACTGTAGGTATTTTTAGTAGTTGAAGATAAGTTTTCATATTTGCTGAAGCTATAAATCCTAGCTGTTAAGTTCCTTCTAGAAAATGTGTTATGAAAACACTTCTTGAATTGTATTCTGCTGTGTACAAAAGAGCTATGATATCACTAAATGTGATACTTTTTCTTGAACATCACACATTTGGATATGCAGAAACAACTACAAGTGATTTCAGTCTGATGGCACAGTAAATTAATTAGACTCTGCTTCTGTTTAATTGTTGAGAGGTTGTTGAGGTCTCACATGGATAAAACATAATACATTCTGAATGAAAAACTATAGGATGGAAAATCAGTTTTTAAATGTGTCAACTGTTATTGATAACAGAACAAACATGGTAAAGGCTAAGAGTGATTTGGGAATCATAAGGATACAAAGTTTTGTTCATACATCCTTCATTACTATAGTCAGAAAGCAATGATAACTGTCTATAAGAGGAAAGGTAGTGGCCCACTTCATCATACTTCAGGCAAAGACAAAAATACATGATGTCCAAAGATTATTGGATTGCCTTGTCATATATTGTACAAGATGTTTAAACAAGATGGAATAGCAGCCACTACATGCTTAAAAGCCATCTTGAACAAAATCACAATAATAAGCATTGTAGATGAAAACCATATATCTTAATTTATTATAACTGCTTACAAAGAAAGTACTTTGCTTGCTGGAACCTGAGGAAGAAGTAACCAAACCAATGCTCCCAGAGTGCAAGCATCTCTTACATGGTAGCTGCTGAAAAGATTCTCTTGTCATTCTACTCCAGGAAGATGCTAATATGATGCACCTGAAATGCAGATGGAAAAACTCAGACAACTGGTTTCTTGAAAGCCACATTTTTAGAACCAAGGTTTAAGGATAAATTTTATTCATGTGACTGTAAAACAGCAATTTTGGGTAAACATAAATATATCAGGAACCAAAAATATAAGTGAGGACAACACTTTCAGAAAATATTTTCTTCAACTGGTACTAGAAGCTTCTGCTTGAGGGACTGATTCAACCAAATTGAACCATCATCAGCAATCAAAATGGATATCAATGTTTACTTTAATTGGTTCATATTAAAGAGAGAGGAAAGCTTAATAATTTTGTGGCAGCATCAACAATAGCAGAATCCCATAATGGCAGCACTAGTCAAATGTTATCTGCTACTGTGCCCTCAGTAGGTGAAAGTGTGAGGGAGGAAGAAACTTTCCTCTATTATTCTAGGTTCTTTCAGCTGGTCTAATAATAGACAGTAGATAGATTAACAAGAGAAAATAACCAAATTTAATTACATATGTATGTAAGGGAACCCCACACACATCAGCAACTCAAAGACCCCACATACATGAGAGTTTCGGGGACAGAAAGGGAAATTGGGGTATATATGGCATCCTGAGCTCAGAATGAGGTAAGATGCCCTGAGACTTCAGAAGGGAGGACAGTCACTTGCAGATAGATAAGAAGAGCAGATGTTCTGTAATTAGAAGTTTGCCCTGGTCATAAAAAGTTAATTCTGGTAATAACTCTTATTATAGCCAAGGCCTCTAATTTAAATTATTTAGGGGAGAGGTAAGCGCTTCTCTTGAGCTGCAGGGTCTCACTCAATTGCCTTCGGCTCAAAATAATCCACATGCCCAGTAGCAAATCTTGGGGAGGCCTGTTCTGAACCCCTTCAAAAGAGAGCATCTATTTATATAGTAGATAATACTATCATTTATTTCCTGGTATGTTATTCTCTACTCTTACATGTACAGAGGACTACACTCCTTCTGACCTTAAAGTTGGGCACAGGTATTTGACTACTTTGGGCTCATGAAATGTGAGTGAAAGTAACCTGTGAGTATCTGGGCCATAGCATTTTGCTATCAGTGGTAAATACTTTAGTCCTTTCTTTCTCTGCTGCAGTGAATGAACCCTGAGCTTCATTTTGAGATGTGAGCATATTAAAATGGTGGAGTCTCCATCAGTCTGCCAGCCCATGATGGATACATAGCACAACTAAAAATAAATCTTTGTTTTTTTAAGCCACTGGGACTTTAGGGTTTGTTTCCCAAACATAACCTAGCTTATCCTGATATACTGTCATAAATGTAGAGTATAATAACCTCAGAAGTAAAATGCTAGCTTACATCGATGAGAAATAAATATTCCTGTGTGGAATGTCAAACTTTAAAAATCTGAATATTAACATTTTAATAGTAAAATGATAATAAAAGTTGTTTGTTTGTTTTTTACCCTCACCCGAGGACATTTTTCCATTTTTTGTTCAGGTAGAGTGGGAGGGAGAGAGAGGAACAGAGAGAGAGAGAGAAACATCGATGTGAAAGGAACACATCGAGTGGCTGCCACCCGCACAACCGACCAGGGCCGGGGACAAACTGCAGCCGAGGTACGCGCCCTTAGCGGGAACCTAACCTGGGTCTCTCAGGACCGCAGGCCGACGCTCTAACCGCTGAGCCAAACCGGCCAGGGCGATAATAAAAGTTTTAAAATTAATAATATGGTATTTTAATATTTCATGGTGATTCTGGTATCCTAGAAGTTTGTGATATGATGGCGACAGTCTGCTTCGGCCAAATATTGATTTGTAACTATTTTGCGTTCAGCCAAAATGTATATTTGGTGCCCCTCTAAAAAATATTAAATAAAAATAATATGGCCCTGGCCAGTTTGGCTCAGTGGTTGAGTGTCGGCCTGCGGACCAGAGAGTCCCGGGTTTGGTTCCTGCTAGGGGCACGTACCACAAATAATAATAATAATAATAATCTGAATAAAAGTTTGGCTATGTGCCCTTTACTTAAAAGTTACTTGCTAGAAACCTGAAATGATTTGTAAATTAGGTCACAAATTTATTCTAAGGAAGAATACCTTTATCTTCTGGAATTCAGGCTTTTTTTTCTGCCATCTTGCATCCTCTATCTTGTCTCTTCTACTGCCACCAGCTGGCTTCCACTACTGATAAATTCTGGAAACCAGCAAGATTCAATTCAATGTTTTCTTTTGACTGCTGGGTCCCTGGTGAAAACACCAAGTCAGTTGAATAAGTAAATTTTTAGGTTTGGAACAGAAAAATATAGTCAACTTATTTCCTACATATTTTGGGTAATCAGATAGCAGGTATTTGTCCCAGCAAGTGGTCCAGACAAGGCTTCAGGCTAACAAAAAAGAAGACATTCAATTCTTAAGTTAATATTCTCCTCTCAGTGAAGAACAGTATTAAAAACTACAGAAATTATATAAGAGCAGAGGTCAATTCAAATACAATAGTGTTCCAATAGTCCTAATGTAGTTTTAGGTTTTAATAACTTCAGAAGTACAAATTCTACAAACTTACACAAAACATCGTTTGAAAGTTACATTATTTCAATTTCTTTCATGCTTATTTGATCTTAGAAATTTTTGAACAGTAAACGTATTTAAAACTTTTTTTCAGTCAATGTTTGCCATCCTCTATTAGGGGAACTACATTTTTTTTAATTCAAAATTATTCAAAAGTCACAAAATAAGTAAGCATAAAAGAAATTTAAGTAAACATTCAGGTGATGCTCTTTGTAAGTATGGAACATTTATACTTCTGAAATTATCAAAGCCTAAAATTACACTAAGACTTGGGACACCTGTACGTGGAAAACTGTGGAGTCATAGGATGCTTGAATATAAACTCTCATAATTTACACCCAGCTATGTCTAAAATCATTTAAAACACTTTATAATAACATATATACACACATGTACAAGGAGATGAGCCATAAGGTTTTTTTAAAGCTATAGAATTATGGCGCTAAATTATTAAAACTTTAGGAAAAGTATGGACAGTGAGGCAAACTAATAGGAAAATCTGTAATATAAGTCTAGTATTACACTTTATTTTTACTGTAGAGGGTGCTTTGGAGGTGCATTTATATTTTGAATACTTGTATTATGTTCTCAATATTTGAGTATTAGTTTTTTGTTTTGTTTTGAGAGAGAGAGACATTGATGTGAGAGAGAAATTTCAATCAGTTGCCTCCCTTATGTGCCCTGACCAGGGATCGAACCTGCAACCTTTTAATGTATGAGACGATGCTCCAATCAACTGAGCCATTCAACTAGGGTGGGTATTAGTATTTCTATTGATGATGCTTTTCCAAAAAAGTTAGAACAAATAACTTTTAAAGACTTGAACATTAAGAGAATGCAGGAAAACACTCCATAAAAATTGTTTTCCTTCCATTAGAGACTGTCTAGTTCAGTGATTCTCAGTCTTGGCTGCACAGTGGAATGACCTAAAGAGCTTAGAAAAATATTAATGCTTGGGTCCCACACTGAGATTCTGACACAATTGCTCTAAGCTGCAAAACTTTATTTTATTTTTTAAATTTCTTTCTTTATTGATTTTTTTTTTTTTTTGAGAGAGAGAAAGGGAGAGGGAGAGAGCCATAGACAGAAACATCAATGAGAGAGAGAACATCCACTGGCTGCCTCCTGCATGCCCCGCCCTGGGGATCAGGCCCACAACCTGGGCATGTACCCTGCCCAGGAATCGAACTGGTGACCTCCCAGTGCATGGGTCGATGCTCAACTGCTGAGCCACACCAGCCGGTCTAAGCTACAAAACTTTAAAAAGAAATTTTAAATAGACTTTAATAAAAATAAATACGAAGTTCTAGGATGAGGGTTTAAAAAAAAAAAAACTGCCGCCCTGGCCGGTTTGGCTCAGCGGTTGGAGCGCCGGCCTGCGGTACAGAGAAAAAAAAAAAAAAAAAACTGCCAAGTTTAGGACCTGTAGCAACAGGGCTTAACAACAGTTCCTGTAGGATGAAAAAACAAACAACCCTTCCCTAGCCAGTGTGGCCGTTGGCTGGAGTGTTGTCCCATGCACCAAAAGGTTTGATTCCCCATCAGGACATATATCCAGGTTTCGGGTTCGATCCCCAGTCAGGACACATATCCAGGTTTCAGGTTCGATCCCCAGTCAGGACACATATGGGAGGCAACCAATCAATGTTTCTCTCTCACATCTCTCTCTCTCTCTCTCTTCTCTCTCTCAAATCAATAAAAACATATTCTTGGGTGAGGATTTTTAAAAAGATTAATAAAGGACATAGACAACAAGGCTGGGGAAGGGGTGGGGGAATGGGGAAGAGGGTGTCAATGGGGGGAAAAGAAGAAACTTCTGTAACAAAAACAAAGTAATAAAAATAATTTTTAAAAAAAAGATTAATAACCTGTAGACCCAGGAAAACTGAGTAGGTCTCCAAAATGGGAAAAGTCACCACCTTAAATACTATCTCCAGCTGAAGACAAAAGATGTTGGGGGTGGGGAGGAGGCCAGTTATGGGAGGTGACCAGCAAAAGCACAGTAAACAAGGATATGGTTGTTATACAGGTTTTAAGTCTTTGCCTTCTCCAGTGATAAATGTTTATATAGATTTACTCATCGTACTCTTCCTGGTACAGAGTGGGAGATACTTTTGCAAATGAAGATTCCTTTTATAAATGTAAATATCTCTTAAAATAGGGTAACTTCTAATTGGTTTTCAGAGTTTCTATTTTTAATAACCAGTTTAAAATAATAAGCCAAAAAGGCATATTTGGGGATCTCAAATTCTACTCCCCTACAACTCTAAAATACAGGATTTGGCAAAAGTAGATTTACAGTCGTGAGTACAAAAAACAGTTTATTCTTGTATTATTGTATATTAATTACTGTATTATTTTTCATACAAACAACAGTAAACTTACTTTTGCCCCACTCTGTATTTTGTTGAGCAAAATAAGTCAGACACAAGATTGCCTACTGTATCATTCCATTTACATACAGAAGGGAGGAGGGATTGACCGGGAAGGAAATTCCTGAGATATAAATGTTCATTTTGATTAGGGTACACAAATAGTTATTAAAACTAACCGAAATGGACACTTGATTTTTGTATTATGATTTCGCACATTCAATAAAAAGAACAAATAAAAGTAATTAATTTAAACTTGGATACCTAAAACAAGGTCTGGGAGGTGGAGATCATAATTACTTCAGGTTACCCCACTCACTCAATAGATTAAAAAGCAACAACAAACCCTAGACCAGAACGGGAGAGAATGAGGAACAGACAGCAGGGAGGGCCAAAGCCTAAGAAATCGCTGGAGTACCGGCAGCAGCAGCCGAACTAATACTGAGACGACGGCACCCTGGTGCCCCATAAAAATAAGCCCCCGCGTCCTTTTCCGGAGCGCATGCGTCCGTCCGTGTTTAACCGGAAAAGTCCGGAGGGAAACGGTGCCACCTCGAGAAAGGATCCGGTAGCAGGTTTGTTCCTGAGCAGATGGCGTGGTTGTAGGCACCGCTCGTTCGTCTGGTTGCACAGCTCGCAGGGAGGAGGACGCCGGGGCTCGCCTTTCCTCCGCTGCCTCTGCCGCTGCCATGATTCCGGTGTCGCTGGTGGTGGTGGTCGTGGGCGGCTGGACTGCGGTCTACCTGACCGACCTGGTGCTGAAGGTGAGGGCCTCGGGTCATCGGAGCAAACCCGCGGTACCCAGAACCCGGGCGCAAGGCGCAAGGCCTTTTCTCCTACCTCGCGCCTCCTGGGCTGGAAGCTGTGTGGCTGATGTCCACGTGCGGCCTTCCGCGTGGCGCCCGGGCCGGTGGAGTAAATTTTGGCGGGCTGCGGGAGGGGTGTGGCGGGCTGTGCAGCAGCCTCAGTCGCATTTCAGGGCGGTGCACACCCCACAGCCTTCGGGTACGGTCTGGGAGGCAACGGTGGTGGTCTTGGGAGGGCCGCGGCACTGCCATAATCAGGGGCAGTGCTCCAGGGAGGACAATAAACTGTCCGCCTAGGAAAGGCATTGTTACCCCACGTTGTCTTTAAGACCACGGCCCTCTAGAGACTGTGGCATTGGAATGAGTCTAAATCAAGTTGTGATTTAGATCAGTGCTCTCAAACTTTAAAGTACACACGATCATCTGGGGTTCCGGTTAAAATGCACATTCTGATTCATCCGGTCTGGGGCGGGGCCTAAGATTCTATGTTTCTAACCGGTTCCTAAGTGTCCCAATGCTGTTTGCTAGGCTACAGCCCACACTTCAAAGTAATAAATACTTAGTAGCAAGGATTTAGAATTCTGACTTCTCGAATTCTAATTTGCATCCTCGTCTCCCTTCTTCACATTAACCCCCCCCCACACACACACACACACACATTCTCTGGGTGCATGGTCCATTCTCCAGTTATTTGAGAAGGGCAGCAAAAATTATGAACATTTGGCTGACCACATGCTTCAAGCAACCCTTTGGAAATGAATATTGGAGGGTGGAGGTAACTATGTGTGAAATAAAATCGTGTAAATTCCCAAATGTTTTCAAAAAAAAATTTCAATTGCGAATAGTAAAACCATGTCATGAATTCCGTTTTAAATAGTTTAGTTTGTGTGTTTTAGGTTTAATAGTAAAATGAAATTATACTAGTGCTTTGTTGCATTTAAACTTGCAAAGTGAGGAAGTTACACAGTGGAGTCCTTAGAACAAAGACTGGGCTCTCCCACTTCCTAGTGATTGTGACCTTGGACAAATTAGTCTCTTGTGCCTGTTTCTTCATCTTTAAAATAGGTGTAATAATAGCAAGGATTTCCTGATATGGTTGAAAAGATTACATTGGTACATCCACATAAAGCCTTACTACTCAACCTGAGGTTCAAGGACCAGCAGCACTTGCATCATCTGGAAACTTCTCAGAAATGTAGAATTTTGGTCCTCCGCCCTGAACTATAGAATCAGAATCTGCATCTTCACAGGATTCCCTAGGTGCTTCCTCTGCACATACTTGGCATAGTGCTTAGCATGTCATAAGCAATACAGACCACTGTTTCTTGAAATAGTGATTTTGTTGTTTAGGAAAAAAACAAAAACAAAGCTATGTGATTTCTTTATGTTGCATGTGTGACAAAAGTAAAAAATAAATAAATTTTCAAATCTCTATAGTGTCTGGTCAGGTGTCCGAGGTGATCAGGATGGCACTTTAATTTCAGTAACAGCCCCTGGCTCCCTAAGACAGCACTATTCCTTGGCGGGGGAGGGGGGGAGACTAACTCATTCAGAATATCTGCTTGGGGAATACAGAGACCTTACAGTTTTTGGAGCCTGCACCTTCAGCTCTGTTTCCAACATGGTCTGCTGTTCCACTCTTGGTTCTAAGATTGTCTCAGTAAATATCTGCTGGAGGGGTATGTCACTCTCATTTTCCAAGTCTTGGAAAACAGGCAGGTTTCAGAAACTTTACCTGAAGATTGAGAGCAGAGAACATTACAGATCCAAAGGCAAACAGACACGTGTATTCAGACTCAGGTCATTTTTTTTATTACTGTGATGAGGTGAAATAATCTTATAGAGACAGATAAGTTTCTCAAATGGATGGGCATTGATATGACAAAATACTTGCTGTATTTTCTGTAACTGAGGTCATAGGGGTTAGTGTCATCGTATATAAAACAGCCTTACATTATCCAAAATCTGTACTGAAGGCCTTCAAACTTCCCTAAAAATAAAACTCTTGTTAGGCTGTATATAAACAGCTATCCTGCCAACCCTGAAAAATGTAAGAGAAGTTACTGAGATCAAGATGGCTTTAGATAGTTTTGTACTTTTACATGATCAAAGTTGGCTTAATTTCTTAGGGTTGTTGCTCAGAAAAGAATAGAAAGCACTGTTTCCAACTAAACTATCTCCTCTGTTGGACTGAACTGATTGGGATCTTTTAAAATTATAACACAAGACTTCTTTCTATGCTAACAAATGGTGGCCATCAAGCATTTAAAATGGGACTAATCTGAAGAGATGGGCTGTAAGTATAAAGTTTAAACCGGATTTTTAACTCTTGGTGCATAAATAAATAGAATTATAAATTATTATAATATGTTTTTTAATCCTCACCCAAGGATATTTTTTTAAATACAGTGGGGAGGGAGGGAGAGAGAGAGAAACATCGATATGAGAAAGACATTGACTGGCTGCCTCCCGCACAACCGGGACCAGGGCCAGGGATGAACCGCAACCAAGGTACGTGCCCTTGGCCAGAATAGAACCTGTGGCTCTTTGGTCCGTGAACCAACAATCTAACCGCTGAACCAAACCGGCCAGGGCAATTATTTTATTTTTTATTAAATTTATTGGTGTGACATTGGTTAATAAGATTATATAGGTTTCAAGTGTAGATTTCTATGATACATTATCTGTATATTACATTGTGTGCCCACCACCCAAAGTCAAATCTTCCTCTATAACCATATATTTGGCTCCCTTTACTACCTCCCAATCCCCTTCCCTCTGGTAACCACCATACTGTTGTCTGTGTCTATGTCAGTTTTATATCCCACATATGAGTGAAATCATATGGTTCTTAGTTTTTTTCTGTTTGACTTATTTCACTTAGCATAATATTCTCAAAGTCCACCCGTGTTGTGGCAAATGGCAGTATTTCATCTCTTTTTATGGCTGAGCAGTATTCCATAGTATATATGTACCACATTTTCTTTATCCAGTCATCTATCAAAGGGCATTTTGGTTGTTTCCATGTCTTGGCTATTGTGAATCGTACTGCAATAAATATAGGGGGATGCATATATCTTTACAAATAAATGTTTTCAAGTTTTTGGGGTAGATACCCAGAAGAGGGATTGCTGGGTCATAGTAAGTCTACTCTTAATTTTTCGAGGACCCTCTATACTGTTTTCCATAGTGGCTGTACCAGTTTACATTCACACCAGCAGTGAATGAGAATTCCTGTTTCTCCACAACTTTTCCAGAACTTGTTATTACGTGTCTTGTTGATAAATAGCCATTCTAACAGGTGTGAGGTGATATCTCATAGTTTTGATTTGCATTTCCCTAATACCTTGAAGTTGAGCATCTTTTCATATATCTGTTGGCCATTTGTATGTCTTCTTGGGAGAAGTGTCTGTTCGAGTCCTCTGCTCATTTTTTAAATTGGATTGTTTCTTTGCTGTTGAGTTATATGAGTTCTTTATATATTTTGGATAGTAACCCTTTGTCAGAGCTGTCGTTTGCAAATACCATCTCCAGTTCAGTCGGTTGCCTTTTTTGTTTTATTGGCGGTTTCTTTTGCTGTGCAGAAGCTTTTTAATTTAATATACTCCCATTCATTTATTTTTGCCTTTACTTCCCTTGCCTTTGGGGTCAAATTGATAAAATCTTCTCTAAGACCAAAGTCTTAGTACCAATGTTTTTTTATATGTAATTTATTGTTTCAGATCTTATATTTAGATTTTGATCCATTTTGAATTAATTGTTGTGAAGTCTAATTTCATTCTTTTGCATGTGGCTTTCCAATTTTTCCACACCATTTCTTGAAAAGCTTTGTCCATTGTGTGTTTTTTACTCCTTTGTCAAAAATTATTTGCCCATAACATAAACAACAATATGGTGAAGGGGTGGGGGTCAAGAATGGAGCAGGGAGGAGGGTGTCAAAGGAGGGACATCTGTAACAAAATATAAATTAATTAATTTAATTAAAAAAAATATTTGCCCAACCCTGGTCGGTTTTGCTCAGTGGTTAGAGTGTCGACCCGAGGACCCGAGAGACCCAGGTTCGGTTCCCACTAAGGGCACGTACCTTGGTTGCAGTTTGTCCCCGGCCCCAGGTGGGGTCCTGTGGGTGGTAACCAGTAGATGTGTCTCTCTCACATCAATGCCACCTTCCCTGCTCCACCTGAAGATAAATGCAAAAATGTCCTCGGGTGAGGATTTAAAACAAAAACAAAAACATTTTTGCCCATATATGTGTGGTTTTATTTCTGGGCTGTCAGTTCTGTTCCATTGGTCTGTGTGTCTGTTTTTCTGCCAATACCATCCATGCTTTTTATTATTGTTGCTCTGGAGTATAATTTGAAGTCAGGTAGTGTGATACCTCCAGTTTCGTTCTCTTTTCTCAGGATTGTTTTGGCTATTCTTGGGTCTTTTATGGTTCCATGCAAATCTGATTGTTTTTTGTTCTATTTCTTTAAAAAATAACATTGGAGCCCTGGTCGGTTTGGCTCAGCGGTCAGAGTGTCAGATCCTGGACCAGAGAGACCTGGGTTCATTTCCCACTTAAGGGTGCATACCTCGGTTGCAGTTTGTCCCCGGCCTGTTTGGGGTTGTGTGGGTGGCGACCGGTCAATGTGTCTCTCTTGCATTGATGTTTCTCTTTCTCTCTTCCTCCCTTTTCCCCTCCCGCTCTGTCTGAAGATGAATGCAAAAATGTCCTCTGGTGAGGATTTAAGAAAAAAAATGACATTGCAATTTTGATGGGGATTGCATTAAGTCTTATATTGTCTGGCTGCCTCTTTTGTCAATGGCAACCAGTGGACCTCTGCGTTGTCCCCCCTGCACCTCCACCCTACCCCATTCTGTAGTACTAGTCTTGGGTTTGCATATAATGTGCTCTGCAACCCAACAGGAAGGGTGAAGGGAGGTGAGCTGTGGGAGGTTAAAGGGCCAACAGGCTCCATAGCTTTGCTTTTCTGTCTGGAATGCTAATTGCCAGACAACTGAAGGTGCACCTCTGTGCTTTGTCCCTGCCCAGGTCACTGGGCCTAGCTGTAGCTCATACTGCCCACTTCTGCAGGAATGCTCACTACATTTTTTTTGCTACCCCTGGCTGAAGGGAGTGCCAGCCACACCTGATTCCTCCCCTCTCCCGTCTGAACCCCTTTGTGAGCTCCTGGCTGCATCTGTGGCTAGTCTCAGCTTTTCTCCCTTCTAGCTTTCCCAGGTTGCTCCCACTTGCCCACCTTTCGATATTTCAATGTATGGATTTCTCAGACATGTTTGTGCATTGATCAGGGAGTCCTTTGTTGAATTATAGCTGTTTAAATTGTTGAAACTTCAAGGGGAGAGACCAAGGGGATCTCTCATGCCACCATTCCTCTGATGTCACCCAGTACAATATTTATTATATTTATTTGAGTTGAAAATACATTTAAATTAATTTGTTTATGTTTACTTTTTAAAATTTGGCTACTAGAAATTTTAAAATTATATATGTAACTGGCATTTATGGCTCACATATTTCTATTGGACATTGCCGTTCTAAACAGAGGTCAGCAAACTTTTTCTGTAAAGGGTCAAGTAGTAGTTTAGGCTTTGTGGCCACACAGGGTCTGTTGCATATTCTTTTCTTTTCTTTTATTTTTTTGTCTTTTTACAATCTCTTTAAAATAAAACCCATCCTTAGTTCATAGGCAGTGTAAAACCAGGCTGTAGGCCAGATTTAGCCCATGGGATATCATTTGCCAGACACTAACTTCAGCAGACCAGCTAGTATGAGGCCTTTATTTTAATATACTAAGGAATGAACACAAAGCTTTAAAATTATTAGCATTCGGGCAGTCAGTATCTTGCTTTACTATAGAGAACACTATTTTTTTATTTTCTTAAACATTATGAATTGTTCTTCAAAATTAAATGGTGTGGAACTTTTCTTTCTCTCTTAGTCATCTGTGTATTTTAAACATTCTTATGAAGACTGGCTGGAAAACAATGGATTGAGCATCTCCCCTTTTCACATAAGATGGCAAACTGCAGTTTTCAATCGTGCCTTTTACAGTTGGGGACGGCGGAAAGCAAGGATGCTTTACCAATGGTTTGCTTCATTTTTTTTTTTTTTGTTTAAGTTAGTCATTGTGATCATGAAAAATGCTTGTTAACTGAACTGTTTCTATCATTTTTCAAACTACTGAGTTTGAAAATGTTGACAGTGTAAAAACTTTCTGGTTTTATATAAATTTATGAGATTGCATCCTTGTGCTTTTGCATGCATTATAAATCAAGGTTCTGTATCTTTTTTTAAATCCTCACCTAGGGATATGTTTTCATTGATTTTAGAGAAAGAAGAAAGGAGAGGTTGAGAGAAAGACAGAGACAGGCAGAGAGAGAGACATCAGTGTGAAAGAGAAACATCAATCCATATGCGCCCCAACAAGGGGTTGAAACCGCAACCTATGTATGTGCCCAGATCCGGAATCAAACCTGCAACCTTTTGGTGCATGGGACGATGCTCCAAACAACTGAGCCACCCGGCCGGGGCAAAATTCTGTATCATGATCTGGGTTGTAAATACATAGATGCATATATGTAAAAATTCAGTGAGCTATACACTTCAGACTATTGCACTTTATTCTGTACATTGTACATTAATAGAAAAGCAAAAAAACATATGGAGCATTTTTCCATCAGGAAAATAATCCTAAGAATTCTCTCTCCATCATCATACCTAGAAATATGGGTCCTGGGAGTTATAGGATGCCTCAAAGTGTGCAGGTTTTCCTCTATACTTCTTTTGTGATACTCCTCCAGGAGAAGGATTTTTAAAATAGTTAACAACAGGTAAGACATATGCACAAACCACATGGAAAAATGGCTAGCCAGATTGCAGTGTTGGGGTCCTGGAGCCCCCTTGTAATGCCAGGCATACCCGTTTAGTTTTAAAAATAAAATAAAATTTCATGGAGTTAATGGTGTTTATAGGTAGGGGGTTTGTGATGATCTCTGAGATACCCTAGAGACAGACAGGTTCTGTAGTTGAGAGAATTTCTAATATGGTGTTAGAAAGTCTTTGTCTAAATTCCTTTTTGTTAAAAATTTAGCTCCAAATGGAGTAGAGCTAAATGTAAATAGTCAGGTCATCAAAAAGCAGTAAATGCACCAGCAAATCAAAGCAAAGAAAATAAAAAGCAGGAAATAATAAAGAACAGGGAAAAAAAATCAGCAAAGCGAAAAGTTGGTTCTCTGTAAAGAGTAATAAAATTGATAAACCCCTGCCATGACTGATCAAGAAAAAAAGATCACACATGTAAACTAAAGATCAAAATTGAAAACGGGAACAGATTAATACAGATTCTAAAGACATTTTTTTAAAATGAAACTGTTTTGAACAATTCTATGCCTATAAATTTGACTGTTTAAATGAAATGGACAAGTTCCTTGAAAAACACAACTTATCAAAAAGTTAGAAAATGTAATAGGTATAAGAGTAACTTCTAATTATTAAAACAGTAAAAGAAAAAACTATCATTAAATTTTACGATGTTAGTATTTTTTTTTTTTATCCTCACCAGAGGACATTTTTCCATTTTTGTTCATATAGAGTGGGAAGGAAAGAGAGGAAGAGAGAGAGAGAGAGAAACATCAACGTGAAAGGGACACATCGAGTGGCTGCTTCCCGCATGACCCCAACCAGGGCCAGGGACAAATCGCAACCAAGGTACGTGCCCTTGACCGGAACTGAACCCGCAACTCCTTCGTCCACAGGCCAATGCTCTAACTGCTGAGCGAAACTGGTTAATATTTAAGCTCATCACAAAACACAGCTAAAATAAGATGCAAAGAATATAATCTGTAGATTAAAAAGAATGGATGTCTACCCAGCCGGTGTGGCTCAGGGTTGAGCATTGACCCATGGACCAAGAGGTCGCTGGTTTGATTCCTGGTCAGGGAACATGTCCCGGTTGCAGGCTCGATCCCCAGTGGGGGGTATGCAGGAGGCAGCCAATTGATGTGTCTCTCTCATCGATGTTTTTTCTCTCTCTAAATATCAATAAAAATATATTTTAAAATGAAAAAAAATGGATGTCTATAATGTCAAAAGAATTGTCATAACTATATGAGAACAAGATCAAAACAATGCTATGTAAATCAGCAAAAGACAAAGGAAATAAACTTTTTGGGAAGAATATTTAGCCTCTTCAGTTATGAGAAATGTAAGTTATTAGATTGGCTTAAAGAGACTACAACCTGTGCTTCAGTTACAGATCTGAGCTTCAGGAAGGAAAAAAGAGATAGGGGTATTGAAATTGTTACATACTTTACAGCTATGAAATGTGGCTGGTCAATGAATTTTTTGAGGAATTGTACATTTATACAATTTTTTTCTCTTAACAGGTTCAATTTTGGAATGGTGTTTGGCGTAATTGCCATGTTTAGCTCTTTTTTTCTCCTGGGGAAAACATTGATGCAAACTTTAGCACAAATGATGGCTGACTCTTCCACTTCTTATTCTTCCTCCTCTTCCTCCTCTTCCTCCTCTTCTTCCTCTTCTTCCTCTTCCTCCTCTTCCTCTTCTTCCTCCTCTTCTTCCTCTTCTTCCTCCTCCTCACTTCACAATGAACAAGTGCTACAAGTTGTGGTAAGTGCCTTCTTTTTGCTTTAAGTAACTGTTGAAACAGATATAAGGTATTTATTTTGGATAGCGTAACTCCCATCCATAATATAAATATGAAAATAAATGAAAAGTCTCATGATTTCTCAAATTACTTACCTAAACAAAAATATTAGGAAGAATATAGCAAGGAATTGTTGCAATGTGTAGTAGTAGCAGTAATAGTGGTAATAGAACAAATGGACCATCATTAAGTCTGTCAACATTACACAGGTTTTGATTTAATACGTGTTGTCGTCTTGAGATGTTAAGTGATTGTTACTATAAAAGAATAAGCATGATCATTTAAGATCTCTATAATGTATAAATAAATTTCATTTTTATCGTATGCAAAGTGCTCCCTTCCCCTTTCTTCTTTATGGTTTTCATTCTTTAACCAGTAATACCCTTTTAATTAAAGGTATAAGACCATTTTGAATGGTGACCATGGCTTTTTGATGTGAAGAACAATGTGCTGAGTTGTACTCCTTTGATTGTGAACTATTTCTAATAACCCTTATTTTAAAGGATTAAAATGTGTATACCTATACCTTATCAATTTCTGTCTCTAGAGTTTGGAAGGGTGCTTTACCATTGGCTAACTTTTATTTCAAATTTTTTCATTTACAGTTTTCATTTCCGTGAGTTGTGGGTATCATGTTTTTAATCATATTCTTATTAATGCAATAGACTTTAAGAGTTAGCGACAGATTTTTTTAACTCATCTCTTTGTGGCTTCTACTATTGGCTGGGTCACTGTGGGAATATTTAGAGGTCATTTGTAGACAATGATAAAGAATCTCTTCTACAGTAATAGTTCTTTCTTAGAGTTTAAAAGGATTCTCCAGGTGAGGCTTCAGAAGAGATGATTTATTTCTTCAGCAAACATTTAATGAGTGTATTCTGCCTATTGGCCCTGTGTTGAGTCCTGCTTATATAGGGAACGAAATCCAGTACTAGCATTCATGGAGGTTTTAGTCTAGAGGGAGAGTGAGTATGATTGTACTACAGTTGAACAGTGCATAAGGTGCTGTGGGAACAGAGAGAAGGCATGCTAAGATGTGCCTGGCACTATGGAGACAATAGAGGAGCACTTCAAGGTAAGGGTGAGGAGAATCCACATAGCCTGGGAAAGGAAGATGGCAGTTGAGCACCCTAGTAACAAAGGGAACCATATAACATGGAAAGGCGAAGGAAATAATAATAGTAATAATAAAACCTAGTTAATATACAGTGCTTCCTGTGTGAGGGTTTTGTGCCCATTTTATTTTATTCTTGCAACAATCTGAAGGTAAGTTTCACAGATGAGAAAACCAGGGCACAGAGATGTTAAGTCACTTGCCTATAAATTTACAGCTAGTAAATGGTTGGGGGGTGTCCATCACTCATCCACCACTGACTTCAGAGCCATTATGCTGTACTGCCTTAAGAAAGACCAATAGTTATTCAAGCAACTATAAAATAACTTTGACCTCTGTCTAGGAGGTATATGGTGGAAAGTATATAGTACAGGAGATAAGATGGGAGATATAGGTAGGGTCTGGGTTATGGTCATTCTAAGAAGCTTTGATTTTACCTGTAGATAACAGGTCTGTGCAAAATGAACCGAAGTGGGATTACATGTGAGATGGGGAGACCACTTAAGAGGGCAGTTGGAATAATTCATGTTAGAAGTGATAAAAATCTAAACTAAATTATTGTTAAGAAGAATGAAGGGGATAAATGCAAGGAATCTTTTGGAGTGGAGTTCTCAGGCCTTGGTGATTAATTGAATGTGAGGCTGGAGGAAAAAAGGAAGAGTTTAGGATAACTCTCAGGCTACTCAATTAGTTATTGTTTGAGAGGACAATAGAGAAAGAAGCAGGTTTGCAGGAAATATCATCAGTGTCCTTTTCGCCTACTAGGATTAGAATGGCAAAAATGATGTGTAAAGAAGGAATTATTTCTTCTTGCTTCTCAGTTTATTTGTAGAGCTCACAAAAATACTGACTGTTAGGAAAGCCATGCTTTGGAACCATCAAGAAGTCAGCTGCCCTTTGTAGTCCACTGTGCATATTTATGTATACGTTTAAGAATGTTTTATCTCCTAACTTGAATATGAGCTCTGGTAGCTTAGAGAGCATACATTCTGTTTACTATATAATTCCCTACAGTCTCATTCAGTATTAATTCCCAAAAACCTGGCACTCTGTTGTTGAGAGATCAGTATTCTGGTACATCTAATACCCTGTATGATCATGGCCAAGACAGATGGGTAGTTGCGTACTGTTGCCAGCAAATAAGACCTACCATCTGTTGGTTTAGTAACACACTCAAATTCTTACCTTATCTCATTATTACATCTATAAAATAATAAAGAACCGATGTCCTATTGCAGCAATTTTCAACCTTTTTCACCTCAAGGCACATACAAACTAATTACTAAAATTCTGCGGCACACCAAAAAATCTATTTTTTGCTGATCTGACAAAAAGGTATAATTTTGATTGCTTTACCAAAAGAAAAAATTACCTACACTTTTTGCTCCAAGGTAACTTTAAAGAAAATTGGATGCCTATACTTTTATGTAAGGATTTCTGGTACCAAGAATTAACCAGTCATATCTTACTATGTGATGTGACAAGATGCAACTCTGTGACAGGACCTATATATTTGTGGTTCAAGACAGGGTATTCACACCGGGTGGCTATTATGTTGGCTGTTGTCATTTTTTTATTTGACATTCTAAGGGAAAAGAGGTCAGTGCCCCTGACTAAATACTTAGGTATTGCATGTTTTAAAAATTCTTGTAGCACACCATTTGAAAACTACTGTCCTATTGGATCAAGCCTACTGATTTATTTGACATAAAGGTAAAATAACTAGGATACTTTGTGATATAGAGGGAATGTGTGAGAAGTAATCTTAAGTACATAAATTTAGAGAGGGGTCAGAGAAAAGGAAACTACTAATTTGAACAGAAAAACACCTAATAACATGGGAACGGAGCAGGTATGTAGAAAAAGATACACTGATGTTCTTGAAAAGAGGTGCTTAGTAGGGTCTGGATAAAGAGAACTTTACATAATGAGCATCATTAAAGTGTCCTAAGTATAGAAAAACATACTATTAATTAAGCTATTTTCCTAATATTATTTATTATTATGAAGACTCAGAAACAACCACAATATATAATTTACAAATGGTTAAATTATGGGATTGTCATTCAATGACATTATGTATAGATTAAAAATGATAATTATGAAAACTAGGGAAAAGACACTTGGAATTACTAATTAATTTAGAAAGCTGCCCAAGCAGCATGGTTGGAATCTCCTCTTCTGTTGTGTACAAAAATAAATTGCAATTGAATTAAAAATGAAATTATAAAAGACCTTGAAAGAAAAAAACAGGTTTCTGTTTATATGAACAGAATGAGGAAGACATAAGCATAAAACTAATAACAGAAACCATGAATATTGATAGCTTTGATCACATAAAATTTTTATATATCAAAAAACTAAAAGCAAAATAAAATTAAAAGGCAAAAAACTTGTGAATACGTCTGTGACATGTATTACAGAGGACTGATAGTTGATATTTGAAATGATCTTACATAACAGTAAGAAAAATAAGAACACTCTAGGATAAAAAAATAGACAAGTCACAAGTAGGCTACTCTCAAAAGACCTATCGTTGGTCAAAAGTAGGGGGAAAGTTCAGCTTTAATAATGATCAAAGAAATATAAAACAATGGGATGCTTTTTATTTCTCTCAAATTGTAGATTTGAGTAAAATGAGCTTTCCAAAGATTATGGAAGGGACTGCTGTTAGAGAGCCATTTGATTTGTATCAGAGTCCTTTAAATTTCCTGTAATAGCATTTGTTACCCTCTCTGTGAGACATAATATTAAACATTAGACAAGGATTATCTCATGTAATCCTTAAAATTACCCTTTTGTAAATGTGGTTATTTCCATTTTAATGATGAGGAAATTGAAGTGTTGGGGGAATAAGCAAACTTCTTCCAGGTCACTTAGCTAGTTAGTGATGGAGGCAGAATGTCTAACCGAAGTGATATTTCTCTGGAGCCTGAACCAACCATACTTGTCTAAGAATTTATCCCCCCAAAATATTTGTGTATATATGTCCAAATATGTTTATTATAGTATTTATAAGAATAGAAACTTTTAAAACAATTAAATGCCCAGCAGTCTATTCCATAGAATACAATGCAGCTGTTAAAAACATGTTGAATCAGAAAATACTCATGGGAAAATGTGCAACTAAATGAAAGGGTTAAATTTCAAAACCATAGTTATAATAAAAGCACAATTTAAAAAAATATGTGTACCCGGCTGGTGTGGCTCACTGGTTGAGTGTCGACCCATGCACCAAGAAGTCGCCGGTTTGATTCCCGGTCAGGGCACATGCCCAAGTTGTGGGCCCAATCCCCAGTGGGGGACATGCAGAAGACGGCCAGTCGATGTTCTCACTCATTGATATTTCTATCTCTCCCTCTCCCTTCCTCTCTCTCTAAAATCAATAAAGGAAAAGTTTTTTTTTTTAAAATATGTGTACATGAAAAGGCTTGAAAGACGTATTAAAACACAGATTTTTTTTTATCCTCACCCGAGTATATTTTTACATTTATCTTTCAGACAGAGTGGGAGTGGGGGTGGGGCGGGGAGAAACATAATTGCAAGAGAGACACATTGATTGGTTGCTTGCCCCCTGCACGACCCCAACCAGGGCCCGGGTGGAACCACAACCAAGGTACTTGCCCTTGGCTGGAATCTAACCCAGGACTCCTTGTTCTGCAGGCCGACGCTCTAACTGCTGAGCCAAACCAGCCAGGACTGAGATTTTTTTTTTTAATTTGTGTTTGGGAAGCAAGATTATAGGCTTCTATTTATCTTTGAATTTTCAAGTTTTCCTGCTTTAAACATTTTATAAGTAATTTAAAACAATAATTAATAATAGAAAGAAGACATTTCCTCCTGAAGGATACCTTCAGGGTCCCACCTCCTGGACTGTGAAAAATAGATGTTCAGCATACAGACAATATTGATGCCTGGTCTGCCCCACTTAGCCTAATTTATAGACTCTGTCCTTAACAAATTACATAACTTGGGAGTGATTATTTATATTATGAGCAGATTCTTGGGTATCTAAAAATAATTTACCATGAAACCTTTAAATAGCAAACTTCCCTTGTGTATGCAATGATACATACATGCACAATATCTTAGGAGCACATGATTGCAGGACAACTCTTGATTCTTAACAGATCCTTAATATGTATGTATGTTCCAAATGCTTTACCTTCTGCATTAAATTTCGATTTTAATATAACATTTATGTATTACTTTGCTACTATCGATGTATTGGACAAACTGATGGAATCAAAGAAGTGGAGAGCATAGTGCTGCCATACTAATCAGGCGCTTTATTATACTGCCTTTAATTAACAACTCTCATATAACTTGAGGATACTAAAAGGAAATCCATTGATGGGGGATGGGGATATCCTATATTACTCACATAAGTACTTGGAACCCTGCAATAACAATATAGAGGAAGAACTAGGAATTGTAACAAGAATTCCCCAATCTGGCTTCCAGCTGACACCTTCAGTGTCATTTCACATTCCCTATCCCCTGGCACTTTGCCAGGCTCTCTAATTTTTTCCTGTGGTGAAGACTACAGGAAGCTAAAATTTCAACCTTTAACCTGGTATTTCCTGTTCTCTTTAGGTTGGTGTTTTGATTAGTTCAAAAGCTGCCTAGTTCAAAAAACTAGTGTTTTTACTTTTATTATGATAGAACTGAAAAAGTGAACCATTAATATTCACATTACTTTTAGTTTGTAGAATTTCAGCTTGGAAGTTTACGTTTTAATACAAAGTGAACATCATGGTTTCTTGGTGCCTAAGTGTGTATTTATTGTTGTGTCTATGAACAGGTTCCTGGTATAAATTTACCCGTCAACCAACTGACCTATTTCTTTGCTGCAGTCCTCATTAGTGGTGTTGTACATGAAATTGGACATGGGATAGCAGCTATTAGGTAATGATATTTACCTTTTTCTTTCTAGTACATGCAAAGAAGCTTTCATTTAGAAGGTTTTATTACTAAAATTTCCAACATTTCATATTGTTTTCTTTCTGTGGATATTACCCAGTGCATATCTGTGATTATTGTTTTGAGGTACCTTGTCTTTTGCAGAGGAGATTTATATATTGATGAATATGCTTAGTTAACCACATGCATATCTATATCTGGGTCTTTCTATTATTTGCCCTCTGCCAGTATGGTTATATCCTCTTGCTTCAAGATTTTCATCCAATCCTGAAACCTAATCTTTCTATTCATCATTGGGTCAGAGTGATAACCTTTGCACTGCCTTCTTAGTACCGTCTTTGGCTTGTCAGCTGACACACTTTCCTGCTTCAACTCATGACCTCTGCTAGCTAGAGCAAGAACACTGAAAGCTCTGGGTTTGTTAAATATCATAGCCTATCTGGACACCCAAGTAGAAGATAAGGGAGGATGAGACCTGGGACTTGCTTCGAGTATTATGCCCTCTTCCTGCCCTGACTAACCAAATTATAGCTGACTATTTTAGTCTCCTAAACCTATAAAATTATGATGGAGGAGAAGGTGACTCACAACTCCCCTTCATTCCCACTGATGATTACTGCCACAAGGAACATACATACTAATGGGAATGTATTTTATCCTTTCAGTGTGTGGACCAGATAAAAGGTTTTAGATGAGAAGATTTAATCACTTCTTATTACTTTCCAGTTGCTTATGAACAAGAGTATATAGACTGGCAATAAACCCTCATCTTGACAGAGCATATACTATTACACAGGTGTGCCAGGTAGAGGTTTAAGTTGGTGGCTGCTTTTTTTTTTTTTAATCTCTCTCACCTTTGCTTCCAGATTTTTAGCATTGTAGCCTATTTATAAAATCATTGTTATTAACAGTTTAATAATTCACAGTATAATGTGGGTAATTTTTTTTATAAAATCACAACTGCCAAGATAAAGAGAATTCGAGAATAAAATGATAAATAGTTCTCCTAAAGGAAGTCTGAGCATTATGCATTTTTAATTGTACTTAGTTTAACATTAATTCAACAAGAATAAACTTAGATAAACCTCCACCTTCATTTATAATAGCTAAGACAAATAAAATATTGAGATAATTTACTTGAATTATATTTCCTAGTGTCCTCAGAAAATAATTGAGTAAACCATAAAAATGTTTTTCATTTATTTTCTCAGAAATATTAAACTTTTCTTTATATATGTGACTAATTTCAAGTTATTTGTTCAGCATATTGGTTTCTAAAAATTTTGAAGTTGTAAATATATTTCAGAATGCTGTTTTATAAAATGCAATATCACAGATGACCAAACTGTACATTATTGTAAAATTATGATATACATATTGATATATATCATATATGTAAGTATAACTTTTTGAGTGTCCAGAGAGACTTGTTTTTCAACTAAGAATTTGAAGTACAGTTGGAAGTTTTAAGATTATATACATTACTAATTTGACAAATGCAATACTAGTAGTGAATTTCTTTTTCTTATGTGATTTCTTAGGGAACAAGTTCGATTTAATGGGTTTGGGATATTTCTCTTCATTATTTATCCTGGAGCATTTGTTGATCTGTTCACCACGCATTTGCAACTTATATCACCAGTCCAGCAGCTAAGGATATTTTGTGCAGGTAACAAATTTATTTATTTTTATTCATCTCTGTGTTGTTAGTGGTTTTATGGAAAGTACTCACATCACAATGAAAGCATCTCATCTTTTGGTTGATAAATTCAGTTCATAATAATCTCAGTCAAAAGTAATAAAGCAAAATAATTTGCATTCCAGTTTCATTAAAAACAACAAAAACCAACATATATTTTTAAGTAATGAAAGTACAATGAGCAGAACATACCATGTGAATAGAAAATATGACTAAAGCATTAAATAAGACAGAGGAGTACTTAATAAGCATAGAAAGTATAACCCACAATGAAAATGTAATTGCTGTGAATCTTACTGTATCAAATAACAAGACCATCAGAACAAAAATGGAAAAAGCACAAACAGAAAAAACAGGTGTAATAAAAGTGACTCTCATGTCTTAACACATGGCACATAGGTATAAGAAAGTCAGATCATCGAAGCTGTTAATAAGGAAAAAATAGATGTATCAAACTCTATACCATAATTTCTTTTCAAGTGCTCATGAGACATAAAAATTGTCCAATTTTATTCAAAAGCATAGTTACAGTATATTTAAAAATAATAATGAAATGTATAAAGTTTTGCTAAAAAGAAAATTCACTGCCTTAGGTGGTTATTATGAAATAAGTTAATCAGTTAAGCATTCAACTGAAAAAGTGAGAAAAAACTATAAATAGTTAAGAAATGATGTAATTAATAAGGATATAGGCAGAAATTAATAAATTGGAAAAAAAATACAACTGTTAAGTTCAATAGTTCTTTAAAGAAAAAAAGATTAAACAATGGGGAAAGCTTCTATAGACAGAATTAGCATTCAGATTGGGGAATGACAACTGACAGAGAGAAAACTAAAAGTTATAAAAATGTTCTTTGTTCATCTCTGCAAAATATTTTTAAAATCCTGGATGATTATAAAACAACAACAACAAATAGCCTAAATAAACCCCAGAGGAGATAGAAAAAAAATATACACATGGGTTAGTTACAATGGAAGAAATTAAGAAAATTGAAGATGAATGCCTCAAAGTTTCATAAGTGGAATTCTTTCACATCTTACAGGAAAATATTTTTCTTTTTAATTCCAATTTAGTATAAACTTTCCAGATCATATAGAGAAGGAAACTTTTTTTTAAGCCAGTACAGTTGTCCTTCGCCACGGTTGGTCGCGACTTCACTCTATCGCGTTTTTTTCAAATTTACGACTGTGTAGTAAATAAAGACTCTGACTTCGCGGAAATTAATTTTTCACGGTGGAGTCTGGAACTGATTAACCGTGATAAATGAGGACCGACTGTATAACATAGATAGATCTTTTAAAGCATTGTTAACCATTGGTGGGGGGGGAAATCCTCATCTCAGCAGATATTGAAACAGATATTTAACAAAATTCAACATCTATTAATGGCTAAAAAAGTGCTTAGTAGGAGAAATAGCTAGATACTTCCTAATGGTAGAGCAGTTAGAAGCATTCCTATTAAAGGACAGGACAAGCAATCCCACTGTCAGCTATCACTGATACCATTAAATGGTTTGGAAATGTGAGTCAGTGCAATTAAATAATAGGGAAAAAATAAGTATAAATATTAGAAAGGCCTTTTTTCCCCTCAGTACTGTTATACACCTGCGGAGGTTAAGTGGATAAAATGAATGGAAATGAAATATAGGAAAATTCAGTAAAGAGCCTGGTTAGCAAATTAATATTTAAAAAGCAATAGCTTGGGGCAGAGCGAGAAGGCGGGAGAGGTAGCGCACGAAAGAGTATGTGGGTATGAGCGGGGACGCACGCATGCGCCGGGTGCCAGGGTATCAGGTAGCGCATGCGCTAAGTGCTGGAATGCCCAGAATCCTCTGCGTCTAACGCCTCTTATACCTCAACCGCCTTCGCGCCCAGCTCGCTGGTTTACGCGCCTTCGGAGCTCGAGGTTTGTCGGAGCTCGTGCTTTGTCTGGAGCCGGTGCTCTTTTTCTCAGCCTTTCTTTTTCGGGACCTACTGTACCCGTTCGTCCTGCCTAGCAGTGAAAGCTGCTTCAGAGCTCTCAGCTATGGCTTCAAACAACTTTATCTACATCACCACAGAAAACTCGGAGGTGGCTACCGAGTTTATAGGACTGCACCAGATCCATCTAGAGACTATCACTGTAGAGAGCATTGCAACGGAGGCTCTCCATTTGGAGAATATTGCTGTGGAGAATATCTCTATGGGGAATGTCAGTGTGCAGACTATGGCTGTGGAGAATATGGCTGTGGAGAATATGGTTATGGAGAATATGGCTCTGGAGAATATCGCTGTGGAGAATATGATTATGGAGAATCTCGCTATGGAGAATCTCGCTATGGAGAATATGGTTATGGAGAATATGGTTATGGAGAATCTCGCTATGGAGAATCTCGCTATGGAAAATATGGTTATGGAGAATATCGCTATGGATAATATCGCTATGGAGAATATCGCTGTGCAGAATGTCGCTGTGCAGAATGCCGCTGTGGAGAATGCCGCTGTGGAGAATATCGCTGCGGAGAATGTTCCGGTGGAGCCCGTGGCAATCGAAACCATAGCGTACGAGGATATCAGCGGCAATTGGGTCCACGGTGGCCACAACAATCCGCCTCTGATTGCGCTGCAGCCACTCATTAGCCCGAACGAAGGCGACCACGGCCAAGAAATGATCATGGTGCAAACCCAGGAAGAAGTGGTGGGCTACGAGTCAGACAGCCTGCAGGCTAACAACTTCCAGGAGCAGCAGGTGGTCGTCCCGGTCGAGGAAAATGCCTACGTCCAGCCGGCTCCAGCTCCTCTGTCAGCTTCTGGGTCATCATCGACCAAGAAGCGCAACAGCCATGGCAAAAAGCCCAGCAGAGGTAAGAAAAGCGCTACCAGTAGCGCTACCAGCAGCGCTACCAGCAGCGCTACCAGTAGCGCTACCAGCAGCGCTACCAGCAGCGCTACCAGCAGCGCTACCAGCAGCGCGACCGGGGCGGCGGGAGGCAGCGGCCCAGAGGCAGGCAGCGGCCCAGAGGCAGGCAGCGGCCCAGAGGCAGGCAGCGGCTTAGAGGCAGGCAGGAAGTGGGAACAGAAACTGGTTCAGATCAAAACTCTGGAGGGTGAGTTCTCTGTCACCATGTGGTCCCCAGTTAAGAAAGGAGACCAGGAGACTGAAGGACAGAAAACTGTGAGCTCATCTCCTGACTATTCAGAGTACCTGACGGGAAAGAAACTTCCTCCTGAAGGAATACCTGGCGTTGACCTATCAGATCCCAAGCAGCTGGCAGAATTTGCTAAAACAAAGCCAAAAAAACCCAAAGACGATATTCCAAGAACAGTGCCTTGCCTTCAGACAGGCTGCGGAAAGATGTTCCGGGATATCGCTGCTATGAGAAAACATCTGCACACCCACGGTCCTAAAGGCCACATATGTGCTGAATGTGGCAAAGGTTTTGTTGAGAGCTCAAAACTAAAACGCCATCAACTGGTGCATTCTGGAGAGAAGCCCTTTCAGTGCACATTCGAAGGCTGCGGAAAACGCTTTTCTCTGGATTTTAATTTGCGTACACATGTGCGAATCCATACAGGCGACAGGCCCTACGCCTGCCCATTCGAGGGTTGTGATAAGAAGTTTGCTCAGTCAACTAATCTGAAATCTCATATCTTAACACATGTTAAGAACAAAGAGAGCCAGTGAAAAGGAAAAAAGACTCTGTTTTGATTCCTACATATCTAAGGGTCATATTTTGATAGAATGGTTTAAAAAATTAAAAGGTTAAAACCATAAGTGGAAAAAAAGGTTTAAAAATATGTGACTACATTGTTAAGATGTCATGTTTTGATAGAGTAGTAAAAGTTAAAGGTTAAAATATATATAAGATTATATTGTTAAGATGTTTTAATCTTGTTCTGTAATATCATTTGAAAAACATGTTTTTCTTAAGTTTGATCCCAATAGAAGGGTAATTCATTAACTTCACATCAAAAGACTGTTTTTATGCAACTGTGCTTAAAAAAATGGAGTTTTTCATATTCAAGTTCACCTATTTACAAATTTTACAAGTTATGTATTTTCCAAATGTTCATGTTTATATTTTTAGGAATATGTTTAATAATTAATTCTATGTGTGGTTTTTTTGGAGGTTGATAACTTTGCTTAGTGTAGATTTTGTTTTAAGAGAATGAACAGTCACGTGTATATGTAAAGTATTTTCCTCTTTAAAAAAGGTTACAGAGGCCATGGCCAGTTTGGCTCAACAGTTAGAGCATCGGCCTGTGGTCCAGAGAGACCCGGGTTCAGTGCCCACTACGGGCACATACCGGTTCAGTTCCCGCTAAGGGCACGTACCTCGGTTGCAGTTTGTCCCTGGCCCTGTTGGGTTGTGGGTGGCAGCCACTCGATGTGTCCCTTTCACATTGATATTTCTCTCTCTCTCTCTCTCTCCCCCTTACTCTATCTGAACAAAAAATGGAAAAATGTCCTCGGGTGAGGATAAAAAAAAAAGGTTACAGAGGTTTTGTTTACTATCTTAATTGTGGTTGTATTCTTTGATATTAACATTTTGCATAACTATCTTATAGCTGCATTGAATGATGTATATGTAGTATTGAATATTATATATGATTTAATAGTATTAGTCAATTTAAACCTACTTTAGTCATTTAATTTTTCCCTAATACTGCCAAATAGTGTTATTTACTATAATTTCTTTGCCATTTCAATTAGAGAGTGGTACACAATTATAGTTGTATTGTTTTAACACTTGTTATGTACACCTTATATAATAGAAAAGGCAAAAGTAAAATACATGTTCTAAAGAAAGGGAAAAAAAACTTGCCTGTATAACTACCATAGCTAGAAAATAGGGAGGATGCTACTGGCATCTGGGGAGTAGAAGCCAAGGATGCTGCTAAACATCTTACAATGCATAAGGAATCATCTGCCCCAAAATGCCAATAGTAAGAAAGTAAAGTTGTAATGCATTCCTTTAGAGAAAAGAAAAGTTGTAATGGAATTCTTTTATGTACTTATAAACATTAATGGACAAAGAGTTTGTTTAATAAAGAAATAGTGTTTTCAACTATCCTTGTTGCTTCTTAGTCATCATGGGCAAATTGGGAATCTAGAGGGGTGGTCTGGTACCAGTTTCATCCATTAAGAGATAGGAGATTGTCCAAAGAGACACAGAAACAGTGCTGCTGTGTGTCCATCCCCCCTCCCCGACTATTGTTTGGAGAGAGAGTTAGTGAGGGTGCAAGCATCTAGGTAATCCTGGTGGACTTTCATTCTGACTGCTGGGGAAAGCTGAATTTAGGAAGTGGTAATGGTGACTAATCAGTGGGTATGGAGTATTTTGTGGAATTGTGTTGGGACTAGCACCTTGGTGGGGGGTGGGGGGGTGGAGTTATAGCTGTATTCCAAAATTAGTTACATTAGAGTAAATTTTACTAGGTCAAAGAATTAGTGTTTTGTCTTGAATTTTGTTTTGTAAATAAAGCTATGAAAGCAATACAAGAAAACACAAGTATCTTCTATAATCTTGAACTGGGAAAGGCTTAATGCAAAGGAGCAATTTGACCACACCAAAATTTAAAATGTCTATGTAGACAAGACTTTAAACCAAGCCAAACAACACCCTGGAGGAAAAAATTAAAATACCTCTTACAAAAGACCAAATTCCTCAATACATACATTCCAAATATAATATATACAAATTAGTAAAGCAAAACAAAAAGCAACAGAGTCAAAAAATGTAAATAAGGCCCACAGTGTGGCTCAGTGGATTGAACTTTATTGCATGGACTGAGAGGTCCTGGTTCAATTCCTGCTTAGGGCACATGCCCAGGTTTCCGGCTTGATCCCAGAATGGGGGGCATGCAGGAGGTGTCTGATCGATGTTTCTCTCTCACTTCGATGTTTCTCTCTCTCTTTCCCTTCCTCTCTAAAAAAATCAATAAAGACATATAAAATGTAAACAGGACCCTGGCTGATGTAGCTCAGTAGATGGAGCATTGGCCTGAGGACTGAAGGATCTTGGGTTCGATTCTCCATCAAGGGCATGTACCTGGGTTGCAGGTTTGATCCTTGGCCCAGTCAGGGGCTCATGTGGGAGGCATCTAATCAAAGTGTCTCTCTGACATAAATGATTCTCTTTCTCTCTCTCCCCGCCCCCTCCTTCCTTCCCTTCCACTCTCTAAAAACCAGTGGAAAAATTATCCTCAGGTAAGAATTAACAACAACAAAAAAAGTAAACAGGCAATATATAGAAATAGTTCTCAGACAAAGGAAATCGCCTTTTAATAAACATGAAAAATTTATAGGCTCACACATAATTAAAGAGATAGAAATGAACACAAAGAGATTTTACATTTCACCTAGCAGATGTCAAGGTCTGAAATTATGATAGCATTCATTGTTTTTTTGAACATTTGGAAACATGCCAGTTATGAGAACATACATTAATGCAAACTCATTGGAGGTCCATTTTTTTTTTTTAATCCTCACCCGAGGGCATTTTTTTATTTTTTTGTTCAGATAGAATGGGAGGGAGAAAGAGAGAAACATCGACATGAACGGGACACATCGAGTGGTTGCCACCCACACGACCCAACCAGGGCCGGGGACAAACTGAGGTATGTGCCCTTAGCAACTGAGGTATGTGCCCTTAGCGGGAACTGAACCCGAGTCTCTCTGGACCACAGGCCGATGCTCTAATCACTGAGCAAAACTGGCCAGGGCTGGAGGTCCATTTTAATGCACATATTTTTTGACCCAACAATTTTATTTCTGTGTAATTTTACATACCCTCACAAATGTATATTTATTTAGATGTACAATAATATGAGCAAAGCTGTAGCAGCATTATATGAAGAGGTTTAAACAGTCTAAGTGATCATTAGTAGGGAACCTTATAAGTCAATATGTTAAAAAAAAAAATGAGGCCCAGCTGGTGTGACTCAGTGGATTGAATGTCATCCCATAGACTGAGAGGTCCGTCCCTCTTTGATTCCCAGTCAGCGTACATGCCCAGGTTGCGGGCACGATCCCTAGTGAGGGGCATGTAGGAGGCAGCCAATCAATGTTTCTCGCATTAATGTTTCTATCTCTCTCCCTTCTTCTCTTTCTTAAAAAAAAATCAATAAAGCCCTGCCAGTTTGGCTCAGCGGTTAGAGCCTCAGCAAGAGGACCAATGAGTTGTGGGTTCGATTCCAGTCAAGGGCACGTATCTCGGTTGCAGTTTGTCCCTGGCCCTGGTCAGGGTCGTGCAGGAGGCAACCAGTCAATGTGTCTCTCTCACTTCAATATTTTTCTCTCTCTGCCTCCCTCCCACTCTAAACAAAAATGGAAAAATATCCTCAGGTGAGGATTTAAAAAAAAAATCAATAAAACACATTTTTTAAAAATGGGGCCATGGCCCATGTGGCTTAGTGATTAGAATATCAGCATGCACACTGAAGGGTTGTGGTTTCGATTCCTGGTCAAGGGCACATACTTGGGTTTCAGGTTTGGTCCCAACCCTGATCCAGGTGCATACGGGAGGCAACCAATTGATGTGTCTCTCTCACATCAGTGTTTCTGTCTGTGTCCCCCTCCCTCCCTTCTACAATGGAAAAAATATCCTCAGGTAGGATTAACAATTTTTTTTTTTAATGGGTTACTCTGTAGTGGATATAAGAAATGGGATCACTATGAATGTGCAGATAAGTGAAAAGTCCAAAATAAATGAAAAAGCAAAATATAATTTCTGATAATTTGATATCTTTGGTGTTTTTAAAAGAACTGTATATGTGCCCTGGCCCACAGACCAATGGGTTGCGGGTTCGATTCCAGTCAAGGGCACGTACCTCAGTTGCAATTCGTCCCCGGCCCACCCATATGTCCTGGACTAGACTTGCTGTGGATATTTTTGGAATTTAATACCTTAAAGCACTAAAGGGGGGCATCTTACAATGTGAATATGGTATGTGGAACATGTATTAGGTATCTGGCTACTGTAATAGCTAAAAATAGCAGGCTTAAACTCTCATAAAACATTCCAAATATAAGTAGCTCAGCTCTGATACGATAATTCTATGATTTGGGGGACTGAGGCCTTTTCTCTCTTGTTAGCTCTACTGTTCCCAACATGCAGCTTTTATGCTATGGGCTCAGGTTTAGCTCCCTCATATAGCTACATTCCAGCCAGTAGGACAGGGATATTCTCATCATTTCAACTCACATCTTCTTGTTCAAAACAGTCATATGACCATACTCAACTTCCTGAGAGTCTGGGAAATGTCTTTAGGTTACATTTATATCATTATAAAACATTGGTTCTCACCCACTGATGCTATCACCTTCCTGGAAATGTTTGGAATGTGTCGGGTAGGAGATATTCTTTGATTGTCTGACAGGAGAACAGTAATGGTGTTTAATGGATGGAGCCAGGAATGCTAAGTATTTTGTAATGCAAAGGACAGACTTGCACAACTAAGAATCATAATACTCAGAGTGCTGGTAGTACCCTGACCCTGCCCTGTGACAGAAGCTAGTAGAAAAAGGGAAAGATAGGTATGGAGGGAGGGTTAAGTGGTGTGCTAGTGTATGTTTAACACCTGGCTCTGAAGGAGAGGGTGGGAAGCTCTGATAAGTAGCATTTGCTGGTTTGTCTTGTGAATATGTGGTACCACTGTGGCCAATTTCAGAGTGCCAACTGGAGTCCCTGAAAGAGGAATTGGGAAGGGATGCACACAGTTGGCTGTGGCAAATTGGTAGGAGCAGGCTCCAGCACACCACTGGGTTCACCTAACCATCTCTGTATATGTGATGGAGGTGATTATAACCTGTGACAGGATGTTAGCTACATACTCTATTTGGCCCACCAATAATATTCTTCATTCTTTTTTTTATCCTCACCTGAGGATATTCCTGTTTCTATCATCAGATAAAGTGAGAGAGAGAGAGAAACATCAATGTGATAAAGACACATCAACTGGCCACCTCCCACACAACCCTGACCAGAGCCGGAGATGAACCGCAACCGAGGTATGTGCCCTTGACCAGAATCGAACCCACGACTCATTGGTCTGCGGGCTGACGCTCTAACCACTGAACCAAACCGGCCAGGGCAATAGTTTAATTCTTAAAACAATCTCTTTTTCCAAATTCCGTTTGGATTTCCATACTCCAGTTCAGGCAAGAATGTTCATTCCATCTTAGCTTTTATTTGAATAGTTCTGACATTCCTTTCAAAGATCACGAGTATGTTTACATTAATAATGTGTATATTTTCTGAAAAGAAGACACAGCAAACAGAAGATGTTAATCCTATTTGTGGTACGCGCGCGCACACACACACACACACACACACACCCCACAGATAGACTCAACATTAATATATATGTGTCAGGTATATATAACAGAATATAGATTTTATTGGTGTTCATATTTGCATGTGGACGTCCTAATGTGGTATTAACATGCTTATTTTACATTTCAATATGTGAAATAGAAGAGGTATCTAACTGAACATCTGTCTGCTGTACTGATAAGGAGATCTGTGTGCCTCACAGCTTCTTCTGGTTACTTTACTAATTTGTCAGAATGCCCAGGTGTTATGGAGGTCCAAATACCTATGTCACTCCTGCCCCTGGTTAAGCTTATTCCTTTTTTTCTCTTTTCAGGTATCTGGCATAATTTCGTCCTTGCACTCCTGGGTATTTTAGCTCTTGTCCTCCTCCCTGTGATTCTCTTGCCCTTTTACTACACTGGAGTTGGGGTACTTATCACAGAAGTTGCTGAGGTAAATGTATTACTTGGGCATTCTTTCACCAGATTTTGTGATGTAACACTTAGCATTTTATGTCAGGAACTTTTATTCAAGTTCTCCTCATAGACAGAATGCTCAGTTCCTACTGAAGAAATTATTGCCAATCCTTTCAAATCGAACAAATAGTTTTGTGAAACACATTGATTTTTTAAAAAATACTAAAAATTGTTTCTGTTCTGAGTTACAAAGCTAGAATAAAGATTGTTTACCTGTAATTTGTTAATAAAATGCATCATTAACCTTTACTGTTTATTTTTATAACTTTGTTTTGAGTCAAATGTCTTTTTACTTTTGAATCTAAGCTAGCTAGCCAGAACATTTCATGAGAGCTTAGGTCTTCAACTCTGTATTTCATTCCCTTAGTCAATGACTACTACTGAGATAGCATCAAGTCTTCTAGTCAGACTTGGGGAAGAGAAAAAATACCTTTGTGAGCAATTGACTCACACATTCATTATGCTGACAGTATTGTCTGCATATTTGGGACTGTGTATAGATAAGGACTTTTCTTACAATTTTGTCCACTGGGGATATAGGAAAATGAAGGCGTTCTAATGACTACTTACACAGAAAATTTTAATTAGCCGTTTACAAAAAAAAACAACCTATCGTTATAATCTTAATAGTTGCCCTGGCCAGTTTGGCTCAGCGGTTGGAGCGTCGGCCTGCGGTCCAGGGAGACCCGGGTTCGGTTCCCGCTAAGGGCATATACCTCAGTTGCAGTTTGTCCCAGGCCCTGGTTGGGTCGTGTGGGTGGCAACCACTCGATGTGTCCCTTTCACGTCAATGTTTCTTTCTCTCTCTCTCCCTCCCACTCTATCTGAACAAAATATCAAAAAATGTCCTTGGGTGAGGACTAAAAAAAAATAAAAAAATAATAATCTTAATAGTTGGCAAGTGGGTTTTTGTTTTTTCATTTGCAAAAAAATCAAAATCTTAGTGAAGTAGGAAAAATAATTATAATTATTGGGTTTTGTTTTAATTTTGTAGGATTCTACATCTTGGATTCAAAGCTGGATTATTTTGTATATAATTCAAAATAGTCTACTTAATCAATTTAGTGTCATTAATGGTTATTTGCTCAGGTTAATAATCATAGCTCTTCACACATTACCTGATTTGCTTTTGCCCTCTTCCCAAGGACTCACCTGCAGTTGGACCCAGAGGTCTTTTTGTGGGAGACCTTGTTACCCATCTACAGGATTGTCCCGTTACTAATGTACAAGATTGGAATGAATGTCTAGATACCATCGCCTATGAACCCCAAATTGGTTACTGCATAAGTGCATCAACTTTACAGCAGTTAAGCTTCCCAGTTAGAGGTGGGTATATTTCCCTCAGTATAATATAATGCTGCAAGCAGCAGTTACTTGCCATTCACCAATCTTAAATTATGTCTATAGATTAATTTTGTTCTAATATCTTTGAAACAAATCAGAAAAGTAATAATAGGCCCAAACTAGTAAATATTCTTGGTGAATCAGATACTAATATGTATATTTCTTTTATTATATATTATTATTGAACCTCTAATTTCATATCATATTTGAGTTTCAGGACTCTAAAATCTAATTATTTCTTCATTTAAACCAAAACCAAAACCTTGTATGTTCTGTGTGGTGGCGGGAGGGTGCTGCTGAAGGGACCAGCTGCTGGGGCAAGAAAGCTCCAGCTCCAGCCACCTCCTCTCAACACTGCTCAGGGCTGCTGGACCCAGCCATGCTGCTGCTGCTGCTGCTATTTGGCCATGGCAGCAGCAGGTGCTGGGACACCAGGGCCCAGGATCCAGGTGTGACAGCGGTGATGGCAGCAGCAGCAGCAGCAGCAGTGGACAAGCCTACAGTGGGGTGGGGCAGGACCCGCAGCCAAGTACCTGTACACGGCTGATGTGTTCATTCACAGGATCAAGAATGCTGTGTACTTGTTATGTTCTTTGTGCCCTGATTTGGGCACTGCTAACTGCTGCAGCCTAATTGGAGCAACCTGGGAGACAACTACAACAGCATGGATGATACCGAAGTCCACATGGCTAAAGTGGACTGCACAGCCAACTCAGAGGTGTACTCTGCCCAGGGGGTGCAAGGATATACCACCTTGACGTTTTTCAAGCCTGGCCAAGAAGCTGTGAAGTACCAAGGCCCCTGCCACTTCCAGACACTGGAAAACTGTTCACTGCAGATGCTAAATGAGGAGCCTGCCATACCAGAGCCAGAAGTAGAACTACCCGGAGCCCCTGAGCTCAAGCAGAGGCTGTATGAGCTTTCGACGAGCAACTTTGAGCTGCACTACACACAAGGTGACCACTTTATCAAGTTCTTCGCTCCATGGTGTGGGCACTGCAAAGCTCTGGCTCTGACCTGGGAGCAGCTGGCTCTGGGTCTTAAACATTCCAAAACTGTTAAGATTGGCAAGGTTGACTATACACAGCACTATGAACTCTATTCAGGAAACTGGGTTCTTAACTTTTCTACTCATCTCTGATTCTGGGATGGTAAAAAGATTGACTGGTGCAAGGGAAAGTAGTATCTGGACCCACTGAGAGATATGTGGCATTGCAGCTCCAGTGTGTGGACAGGGGTGCCCCAGAGACCGGCCAGCCCTCAGAGGTCCAGTTGCTAGCTGCCCAGCCTGAGGCCAACAAGGGCACTGTGTTGACACTCACTGAAAATAACTTACATGACACCATTGCAGAAGGAATAACCTTCATCAAGTTTTATGTTCCATGGTGTGGTCATAAAAATCTGTCTCCTACTTTGAAAGAACTCTCTAAAAACGAATTCCCTGGTTTGACAGAGGTCAAGATTACTGAAATGGACTGTACTGCTGAGCGGAATACAGAGGTGGGCAAATGTAGGTTTACATTTGTGAATATGTGAAACACAGTTTATTCTATTATCATTTATTAAATATTGTATTATTTTCCATATGAACAACTAAACCTACTTTTGCCATTCCTGTATTTGCAGCAAGTGTTCAGTAGGAGCCTATTCCACATTGTTGCTTTTCCACAGAGGAAAAAAGTCAGTGAGCACAGTGGAGTTGGAGTCAGAGACCTTACACTTTGTTTTGCAACAGGCAAAAGACGAACTATAAAAATGCAGGTGCAAGTCACCTATTCTGCCTGGCCTCCTGGATCCAGTGTGAAGGAGCTAAATCATGCAGATATTGCTGAGTTTCAAGTGGTAGTTATTCAGAAAGTTGAATGTACTTATGTTATCTTCTTGGTGTTTTTTAAGCCGACACACTCTACAGAGTCCCTTTTTTTTCTTTTTTTTTGAGCAAAACTAAGTCAAATTTACTGGTCTTAAATGCAAAGGTAAAAACAAACAAAAAAACACACATAAAAAAAAGAAAAGAGCCCTGGCCAGTTTTGCTCAGTGGTTAGAGCGCCGGCCTGTGGTCCAGAGAGACCCGGGTTCAGTTCCCGCTAAGGGCACGTACCTCGGTTGCAGTTTGTCCCCAGCCCTGGTTGGTCATGCGGGTGACGGCCACTCGATGTGTCCCTTTCACGTCGATGTTTCTCTCTCTCTCTCTCTCTTCCTCTCTCTCCCTCCCACTCTACCTGAACAAAAAAAAAAAAATGGAGAAATGTCCTCAGGTGAGGATAAAAAGAAAAGAAAATTAACAGAACAGAAAACCCAAAATGTCAAAGCAATATGAAGAGAAGTTTGAGGGTTAATCTTTAAAACTACAAATCAAAGGGTTTTTCTGTTAATAGATAATTGGCAAGAAGGAAGTACTTTTCTGCTGAGTGTTCATATGAAAGCAAAGTTTCAAAACAAAATCTGACTGAAATAGAAAACAGTCTAGAACTCATGAGAAGGGATGCAAGAAATACAATGCTCAAATGTCTATGTGTTATTTAAAATCTAAATTTTTAATGACTGGTTTGGCTCAGCAGTTGGAGCATTGGCCTAGACCAGAGAGTCCCAGGTTCGGTTCCCACCAGTGGCACATACCAAAAAAATAAAATAAAATAGAGCTATCTTGCAGATCCCCAATAGGGGGCATGCAGGAGGTAGCCAATTGATATTTCTCTCTCTCATCAATATTTCTATCTCTCTCTTCCTTCCTCTCTCGCTAAAAAATCAATAAAAACATATTTTTTTTAAAAAAGAGCTATCTTGCACATTTGAGCTAGGTTAAATGCTTTTGGAAACTGGAGAAATGACTGTAAACAACAGTATCTGATGTGTGGGGTGCTGTGCATGCAATGTGTGGGAGGAAATTAGAATGTCAGAGGAGCAGCCCATCTTCAGGCATGCCTGGGGCTTAGATCAGATTCAGGAATATATGGAGTTTCCCTGAAACTCTTTGGTCCATTCCTATTGATATCTGGGCATAGGAAACATTGTGTCCTCTGGAGGGCCTGGCCCAGGATGTGGCCCCCCTCCTCAGTGGTGGCCCTCAGCCACTGCCAGGACCACTCGGCAGAACCCAGGACTAAATGAGCAGGAAGTGGCAATAGGACCTGCTTAGGGAAGCAATTTCATGTCAACCAAAGCAGAAATCGCTTAAAATGTTGAAGCAGTTAAGAAAATGCACACTCAGCATCTAACATCTTTAGTTTAAAAACAGAAAATAAAAGGTCATTTCTTTTTATTTATTTTTTATCCAGTTTGTGGAGATACTGAATAAAATGGGTGTTAGACAATCTTAGAAGTGGTTAGTCAATGCAGTCTACCTAGATTTCTGTTTAATATTTAATATATATGTATTTTATTTTTACTATTTTTTAATTTAATATATATATTTTAAAGGAAATAACTTAAGAAACTCCAAGTTGGTCTAACATTGTGGGATTTCTAACATTTGAACATGTTGATTGCATCTCAGAGTATAAAAACCTTTTAATTCTCATTTAGACTAAGACAAGCATTTGTGAAAATTGGCACAAAATGACTTGTACACTAACAAAAAAATGTCAATTTCACTCTGAATTATCTATTCCATACCAAAAAAAGCATGAGCCCTGGCCGGTTTGGCTCAGCGATTAGAGTGTCGGCCTGTGGACTGGAGAGTCCCAGGTTCAGTTCCCGCTAAGGGCACGTACCTCGGTTGCAGTTTGTCCCTGGTCCCAGTTGGGGTCTTGTGGGTGGCAGCCACTCGATGTGTCTCTCTCACATCGATGTTTCTCTCTCTTCCTCCCTCTCTCCCTCCTGCTCTATCTGAAGATGGATGCAAAAATGTACTCGGGTGAGGATTAAAAAAAAAAAAACAAAAAACATGAGCAACTTATTTGTGGGACTTGGTTTGAAGGAAACCTGTAAGATTTTGTCCCCCAGGCCGTAGCCACCGTGCAGACTTGCTATGGCCATCGCAGCTTCTTCATAATTTGTCATGGTCACAAAACCAAAGCCTTTGCACTTGTTAATGTTGAAGTCGTGAATCACTTTCACATTGTTGACCGCACCAAAGTGACCAAATATCTGCCAGAGGATTCCCTCATCGGCATCTTGACCAAGATTGTAGATGAAGATGCACCAGCTCAAAGACATATTGCCTGGGACATTGACACCAGAAAGCCCACTCATGTGATCTACACCAATAGGAGAGAACCTGAATCTCTGCACCTGCTGATGCACAGGGCCTCTGAACTAGCTATATGGTAAGTGGTACAGCTGGGAGAGCAACGCCACGTTTTTGTTCTGGTTGGGATTGGCTGCGAACTTCACTGTAATGGGCTCAGAGGAACCTGGGGGTTTATGACCATTGAAACTAGTAATTGCCTCTTCTGCCTCCAACCATTTGTCAAACCAGATAAACGCAACCCCTCTGTACAAACCTGTCGTCTGGTCCACAAGGACCCGAGAGTTGATGATTTACCCGAATCAAGTATTGACCTTCCTCTGATCTGAAGGTCACATTGACTTCTTAATAATGTGGTTGGTTTGTAGCTTGGAGCAGATTTAAAAACAAAAACCCCATACCTCTGGAAGATATCTTCACGACCACTCCTGGATGTTGTTTCTGTTAATACTTCTCTCATCTCGAGAGGTTTGCCATAGTGAAAGCAGTGATACTTTTAACATGTGCCTTGGTAAGATAATGCTGATACCATAAATCTTATGTGTGTGTTGATATTTGTCAAATCAGTTAATACTATTCAAGGGATACTCCTATTTGTTTCTCATGGGTGAAGAATTTCATTAGTCAAGTTAATAAGAAGTCAAGGTCCATGTGAAGATTTTTAAGATTTAAAATTTATGTTTAAGTCCATGTTTAAGATTTGATGTCTCCCATGGAAAATGTGGGCATGGAAAGTTCCACAAGGCTTGTCCTGACTATTCTATTAACCCATTGAAAGGTTCTGGTTATGTCT